CCGCTGACCACGATGTGCGATCGTGGCGCCGGCGCACGTCGAGGGCAATGAAATACCATAGCCTCCGACTTATTTAGGGTCACCTCCAGGCCCAGGCGCCGGATGCGGTTCACCACCTGTGACACCACAGCCAGAGGCGGCGTAAGGCGTGGGCGACGTGGGACACCGCCTACGGCCTCGCGGTACAAGGGGCCTCGCGCCTCGAAATTTTTTAAATCGAAGAAAAATATAAAATAAAAATTGGAAAACAGTTCACCTACAGGCTATCCTTGCAACTTCCCGCTAAGCGCTTAAATTTTATCTAATGCGTCATTTTTGAGCTTATCGAGCTCAAAAATTTATTTTCCTTGTTGAAATACCTAATCGACAATTATGAACTGTTATAATTTTTAGGAGAGAACTGTTGTGAAACATGTTTTCTTAGGCTAGAAACATTTGCCGCCGACCAACCAGAGTTCCAATGCCTTAATAAATAAATAAAGAACGTGCGGGGAATCCCTGGTTTTATTTTGTTTACTTTCTTTACTAGGAAGACAACCAATCAAATCAAAGTACGCAAGGCGCATAACAATAGAAATGTACATTACGCGCGATTTTACCTGACCGGCCTGAAGTTAGCTCTTTCTAACGGTCGCGCATGTACAGTCACTAAGAAAAATTAATTTCATTTTTATTAATGATAGTAAAGAAAACTGTTATTAATCAAAATATTTCTCTCTCAAACAGTTATTAGTCTTAGTATTTTTTTAATCTTAATTCATACATTTCTATTTACTGAAAAATAACTGTCACGTAAGGTTTATATCAGTTTAAGGAAAACAATCGTTTTCGTTACTGCCATAATTTAAAAGCCGTCTTGTTTTTTTATTACATAACATTTACACACATTTTGTGAATGGATAAAAGAGTATCGGGAAACTGAAAAGGATTTTCGATTATGAAAGCAGCGATCAACCTATACAGTCTCAAACGTATCAAACTGATTTTTTTTACGCCATGATTGATTCTATAATAACCAATATGGAATTAAGATTTACGTCTTTAAATCAACATTTTGAAGAATTTGGTTTTCTCTATGATTTAAGCGCGCTAAAAAATATGCCGCAGGAGCAAATATTAAAACACTGTAACGATTTACATAACGTCCTGCGTGTGGGTGAGGGCAGTGATTTCCAACCATTTGAATTATATGAAGAATTAAATACAATGATCCTGAATTTACCCAACTTCTTTAAAGACGTGAAACAGCTGCTGTCATACATAACAGAAAATAACTTAAAAGAAATTTACCCAAATATTTACATTGTCATCCGAATTTTATTAACAATTCCGGTAAGTACAGCCTCTGCTGAAAGAAGTTTTTCTAAATTAAAATTAATAAAAAAATATTTGAGAAACACAATGAACCAAGAAAGACTTTTAGCTTTGGCCGTTTTATCAATTGAATCAGACTTGGCATCTAGGCTGAATTACGATACCATAATTAAGGAATTTAGTAAAGTTAAAAGCAGGAAATTTCTGTTCCTTTAATAAAGAACACTAATTAATTTTAAGTATACTTACGCTAAGAAATGTATATCTCCACCTTTATATTTACGATTTGTAATTTTTCATTAATACTTATTAACCTAATTTGTATTTTTCTGCATAAAAACTTGGCAGTGTTAATTGTTTTGTTTGTTTTTATTATTTTATAAAATCCGTCTTTGGGTCGCCATAGAACAGGGCCTCGCGAAATCTGTCTTGCCCACATCAAATTTAGGTCTTGCCCCGCCGCTGACCACAGCTGTAACTATAACGAGCGTACTCCTTCTTAAAAGGCCGGCAACGCACCTGTGACTCCTCTGGTGTTGCGGGTGTCCATGGGCGGCGCCGATCGCTTGCCATCAAGTGATCCGTCAGCTCGTTTGCCTCCTATTCCATAAAAAAAAACTATCAACGTTGCTTCCCTGTGCGAGCTCTCCCGGGCTGTAACCAGCGTGTCGTACGCATAACATGTCAAGTCAGCGCCCAACGCTAGCTCGCGTCTCAACCCCCACTACCCCCAGTCGTAGCCGATGCATGTTACACAGGAGCGGCCCCAAAACTGAACTCTGCGGAACACTGCACGACATGATGTGCCAACCGACACCAACACGTCCCCGATAGGTGACGCATCTACTCCAGATAAGCCCCTACCGTACGGTAGACGTTGGGAGGCATGCGATTAAATCCAAGATATGTAAGCAAGCAAGCGATACAAATGAGTTGTCGTTGGATTGTCAAATGTCATTTTTTTAGGAAATGTCATTTGTCAATAACGTCATTGTAGTTCGTAATCGTAACGAATGCTCATTATTGCTCATAAACTCATAATCACAAGATATTCAATAAAATTCATGATACGATTATATTACTTTATTAGTTTATTCTATATAGTTTGTTTTGTGTTTAGTTTAGCCCAAATTCAATGAGATTCAAATGAAGAGTGGTTACTATATAAAAACGACCTACAATAAAGTATTCAGGCAAATGATAGACCTTAATATTAATGTACATAATAATATAACCTTTATCGGTTCGTACTGGTACTGATTGCTGCATATTATTATTGATTTTTGTTTATAATATGAATATGTGAGTATTACTAGTTGCTCTAACTATCCTCTAGCGTTGAACAATTTTATTGTCTCACCTCACATCATAATTCGTAATGCGGCAATGTAATTAGGTTATTAACTTAGGAACTCGGTCCGTATGTGGAAACATAGTTGATTGTATCATTGGGACGATAATACTAATCAGTCCATAATTCATAAACAATTACTTAATAATAATAATAATATTGAAAATCAGTTTGTATTCATTTTAGATCTTTGACAATTCCTTTTCCTTCACCTGAGTCGGCATCTCTAACTCGAGACGTATTAAATGTGGATAAAGAACTAAAAAGAAGTGGAGTTCAAAGAAAACTGGAAACTAATGCTGAAAATCTTGTGATGTAAGTTTTGAATTGTATAGGGTAGGTAGCAATAATTTTAGAGACTTATTTTTTTTATTAAATATATGTAAGTAAGTAGATGCATAGCTGAAGTGGTTTTATCATGAAACCTTTATTCATCTTCAATAATTTATTAAAAACTTCTAGGTACCAAAACATTGTGTTTGTGTTTCAGAACATTTCATGGCAGAGACTTGAAAAAATTAAGAGTAGCAGTGAATTCTATGATACAAAATATTATATTAGTAGTTAAAACAATAGAGCAGTTTAAGTAATATTGTAAAAGAAGCTAAAATATGCCAGAACATACTCCTGCGCCGACACCAGCAAGGTCCCTGTATGGATTTTTCATGTATTTATTTAGTCAAACAATGATGTTTATATATTTTATATGGGCAATAACACCAGATTCTCTACTTCATTACTTCAATATATATTACTATCCACAAAAGTATTGGTCCACAGCTGTGCCCATACAATGTCTAGTGGCATTGACTATTTTTGCATTTTTAATATATCCTAGTTCTAATTTGATGTTAACTGCTAACATAGATAGTATTAGTACTATTAGTGATCCCCATGCTCATTACACTTGTAAAACTAATGAAAATAACAATAATGCAATTGAACAGTGTGTGTGTACTGATGCAAACAAATGTGTCAAGAACTTACACTTTACATCAAAAGAAGAGTTGGAAGAAAATACAGTGCCTCCATTATATGACCTAAATATTGGCTTAGTTTGTAAGAATTTGTACTTCAAAGAATAGCTTACATACATTATTGAAAGAAAAATAAAAATATTGTCACTAAAAGTGTATTTTAATAATTATTTAATGGCTTAATGGATATTTCCCCAGCAAAGTTTGTTTAAAAAATTTTAAAAACATTAAAAGTGAATTTTAAATAGTATATTAAATAAAACTCACTTGTATGAGTATGAGTTGTTTAAAGCAATTAATTGAAACATATTATTATTATGCACTTAAAGTCCATAATTATGTAAATTTAAACATAATGTGTTAAGTGCACAGGCGCATATTACGTGCCTCTGCCAAACCCTTCAGAGATTAAATTGCGTGATGTTGATGACAATCGAGAACAGTATAAAATTCATAATTTCGATGTATCTACCTAGTTTCATAATTTATGTGTACGTATTTAGTTGGTAGGTACCTATTTATTTCGAGCATGGCCTTAGGTGCTTGGATAAAACAAAAATAATCATTTTTTAAAAACACTTCGTTGTCGGTACTTAGATTTGACGTAAACGACATTATGCATAGCGTGTTTCATGAGCAATGAACAGTTCATGTTTCACAATAAATTAACATCGGAACATTAAACATAAGTACTACGTTCGGTATCTGATAAAAGCGGACTGGGGGTAACCTAGTTTCTAAAAGGCTGGTTAACTTCAAAAGATCGTTGTAGCTAATATTGTCCATATCTATTCGAACAACGATTTATCCTGGTTATCTGTTGCCAAAAGACGTCATAAAATAAGCAAATACCTACGTTACTTGATAAGAACAGATTAACCATGGAAGAGCTGTTTTTAAAAACGGGGGTTAATTGTACGAAAAGTAGTGGTGTTATTACATAGGTTATTAACTGCCAGATTTATTTTTTTCTGAAAATATCAAAAAACCAAAAAAATTCGAGCGTTATTACCAACTACCTACCTACTTCACTCGACCCCTGAAATCCTGAATCGAAACTAATACGAAAGCCCTAGTTTGGTTGGTGTAACTAACTAGATCTAGGTAGAATTACTACCTAACACTTAAGACAGGACATTTAGGATTTTTTTGTGAAGATGTTTAATAATTTCTACAGGGTCTGTCAGCTGTGCCATCCATCACAAGTCATACTAAACTAGCTACTAAAGTGATATTGGTTGAATACTGCCTTTAAAATTTTAAAACCTTATTTTAACAACCGTTCAGGATAAAAAGGCAAATTATTATCAGTTGAAGGTAATCGGTCTATATTTATTAATAGCAACTTGATGTTCGTGTCACTTTCATTTGTGTCGATTCACGAGTCACACGAATTATGTGGAAAGTCACACTAATGATTTTTTTTGTTTACTTTCAGATTAAGTGTTAAATAATGGCGAAACCAAAAAAACAAAAAAGTGAGGAAGAATTAGAGAGGCGTAGAATAGCTAGAAGACAAAAATATCAAACTATTAAAAACAATCCTGAGTTATATGCCGCTGAGCAAGAAAAAAAAGACAATATTACTTAATAGCGAAGGAGAATAAAAAAATTAAAAGTATTAACGAAATGAGCCCACGCGAGCAAAGAATTCAAAGACGAAAATGGAAAGAGAGTTCCAAAAAGTTTTATAGAAAGAAAGTAAGCCAAAGAATTATAGAGAACGTTGCAGTAACTGAAGAAAGTTGTGATATTGAAAATGTTAACATGAATACAGTTCCTTTAAATATAGAAAACCAAGAAATGAAACCCAAAATAAGTAAGCGTGAACAAAAACTAATAAAAAAAATCAAAACAATGAAAATACAGCACGAAAAAGAGAAACGAAATTATATATTATTATTAAATAGGTACAGGTTCAGGTTAAATTATTTAAAAAGAAAAATATCTACACTAACAGGTGAAATAAGTAATGAAGCAGAAAAAACAAAAAATGAAGACAAGAAGCAATTATTTGATAGACTTCTAAGTGCTGAAATAACACAGAAATTTGCAAAAACTGCAAACAGGAAAGACAAATGCGTTATCACTAAGTTAATTGATAAAGAGAAGTTTAAAAAATTTAAGGTTGCTACTGACCTTCGGAAAGTTCATCTTCGAGAACGATTTAAGAAGAATGCACGTAATAACATCAACATTCAAAAATTAGTAGAAAAGTTTTACGAAGACGACATTAACAGTCGCATTACTCCAGGCAAGAAACAATATAAGAAGAAACATGGAATCGTTAAACAAGTCAGATATCTTTTAGATTCTATAAAAAACTTACACAAGAAATTTTTGGCTGAAAATACTAACATTAAAATTAGTTACACGACTTTTACAAGACTCAGACCATTTTGGGTCTCTCTTCCGACTGACGACCGTGATACGTGCGCCTGCTTGTTGCACACAAATTTTAACTTATTAATAGCGGCTCTTAATAAGAATAATATTCTTCATGTAAAAGATAGTCATAATTTGATAAAGGAAATCTGTTGTGATAAATACAGGCTAGATTGTCTTAATCGCAAATGCGCTTCATGTAAAAATAAAACAGTACCTTATAAAGAATTCCGAAACGATAAAGAAATACAGTACATGGTATGGGAAAGAGACACCAAAAAAGTTGACACGAAAGAAATAAAAATAATCAAGAAGAAAACAAAGAGATCTGATCCTCGTAACCTGATAATTGAACTGGAAAATATTCTGCCAAAATTTTTGTCCCACACGAGTAACATTGTCAACCAGTATGCTACTATTAAATGTTTAAAAGAATCTCTAACTACTAACGAAGCCTTGGTTCATATGGATTTTTCGGAAAATTATTCTTATAAATATTCGGAGGAAGTACAAAGCATGCATTTTGGTGGCAGCCGTGGTCAAGTCTCACTTCATACAGCAGTGGTTTATTTAAAAAATGATTCCAATGCTACTCAATCCTATTCTGTTTGCTCAGCCAGTGAATGTACCCGTCATGATGCAGCGGCAGTGTGGGCTCATCTAAATTATTTAATTAAATTTGTTTTTAACAGATCATCACAAATTAATCGCATTCACATTTTAACAGATAGTCCCACAAGCCAGTACAGAAATAAATATATATTTTATATATTAACTCAATTAAGGAATGACTTCCCAGATCTAAATCTCGTCACGTGGAATTATCAAGAAGCTGGGCACGGCAAGGGTGCTCCTGATGGCATTGGAGCAGTAATCAAAAGGACTGCCGATTATGAATTAAAGTGTCATCAGGATGTCGGAGACTTTGATGCCTTTGTTAACATTATTCGAAGAAATATAAAAAACGTAGAAATGGGTATTATTCAAGAGCACGAAATTAAATTAAGGGAATTAATGTTGCCTAAAGATATTGCCACTTTCAAGGGGACTATGACAGTTCATCAGGTATATTTTATACAACAAATAAAAAATATACTGATGTTACCATATACAATGTAATAATAATACATATATTTTCCTTACAGGTCATTTGGGCAGCTGATTCTGCTTATCTAGAATTTAGAAAACAGAGCTGTTTCGAATGTATAAGTGTCGCTTGTAAACATGGCAAACATATGAGATTTTTTAAGATATATAATACTCCAATTGGATCTACAATGGAAAATGTAAAGGTCATCCCGGAAAACAAAAGAATTAAGGTACTTAGTGATGTTACCATTCGCTATGCTAATACCGATGATCCAATGTTACATGACAGCACACCATCAACTTCAAGTCTCCGCAGTATTCGACACTCCTGGGCCAATAAATGTTTTATAAATAATTATACAAAAGCGACAGATCACGAAAAAGAATTCCTTGATTTTTTAAAAAAATGTGAAGATGATGATGACGATCCCTTATCAGATTAATTAATGAAGAAGCTATTAATAATATGGATATTGTTATTGTAAACGCAATGAAAAAGGAGTAGCGTTAACCAATCTTGAAGACTGAAATCAGAAATGTATACCATTGATTAGCTTAGTTGAATAAGTTATTGTTTTGGAATTAAGTTTAAAATAATTAATATCTGTAGTACGGTGACCGGCACATCCACCTTCACTGCAATAATGTTACTACCCTACCTACTATTAATAATGTTAATGACAAATATTTTATGTTTTGTTGATTATTTATTAATTTTCATTCGTGTTACCAGAGATCTCATTAGAAAATCACAAAATATCATTAGAGAAATTATATTGCTCATTCGTGTCACTCATAAATGTGTATTTTCCCTGTTATTGGAAGAAATTAAAGGTTTGTTTGATTAGCATGTGTTTTTTTAACTAATGAATGCACCTAGATATATAAACATATATTTTTTTAATATTTTTGAAATATCATGCAATTCACACTTTTTTGGCCCCAAATTTGAAATCGACCCATAAGTGCCCACTGCTGAGCAAAGGCTTCTTCTCATACGGAGAAGGTTAGAGCATTGATCACCACGCTTGCTCAATGCGGGTTGGCGATTTCAAACTTATAATTAGAAATTATAAATCCAGGTTTCCTCACGATGTTTACCTTCACCGTATGTCAGTAGTGTCTATATAGTCATAAAAAGTACATATAACTCGGAAAAAGTCACATTTGTTTTTACATAGCAGCTTTTAATTTTTACCTCTGAGAAGATACTTACAAAATATTTGCCTAGTTGGGTTACACCTTACTACTCCCATAGCAGACATTTTCGTCTCCACAGCAACTTCAACGGGTGAAGGTAGTCTCTGAAAATAGTTGAATAGACAACAAACACTATGCACTGTGTGCATGAAGCTATACCTACCGGACCGCAAATTTCGCTCCACGTGAATAATCTTGTATTGAAGGTACATCAAACACCTTTGAAATTGATTTCATTCCTTTTCAATTTGAAATCTCAAAACTAGGTATAAAGTGTCAAATAAACAATTTGAAATGGTTTGGCTATTTGCGACATACCTATTTTTAGTAAATTATTTTTTTTAAAAATAGGTATGTTGACTTCGGATTATATCTACGAAACAAAGAATGATTTACTGTTCTGAAGTAGCTGTCTGTGGAAAATAGTTTCTACCTACATATCTATATTTTTTTACTGATACTTTAACAATAACTAATGCAAACGATTATGTACAAAAGGTGCTTAGCATAACAACGGTCTCCACCTTCAAGGTTACAGCGCAACGTTAAGATATTCGCACGATCGCGTTTATGATCGTTATTGTTCACTTGCCGTAATTGTTAAATCTTTGTGTTCGCAAGACATCTGATTATTAAAACCCCACAATATCCGTACAATTGAACCTTTAACAATATTAACATTTTTGTGGTCTAAACACGATAAAATAACGAGATTTCTCTTACAATATTTCATGCCCTGGGCCTACCTATTGACCTAGTTTCTAGTAAAACTCGTAACCTAATACAGATTGTGTCTCTGCATTTCTAGCGAAGGACATATTGAAACCATAATATTATGGAGCTCAATGTTAATATATTTTTAAGGATAAAACAACACTTCCCATGATTAGTACAAAATAAAATTAAATATATTGTTAGTTTTTTACATAGGTAAAATTTATTTAAAAGTACAGAACATATGAAGGACTACACACTGAATTGAGATAAAATACTTAGTACTGACTTGAAAATGATGTAAGCCACTTTTAGTATTCACAATATGAACTTATTGCATCAATTAATGATTATTTGGCAGACCAAAAGAGATTTTCCAACAGTGCATAGGTCATTAAACCTTATTTTATTATATAAGTGAAATTTGGAATATAAGCTGTAAGAAAATCTGCAATTAGACCAGCCACTACACCTTATATACCGAAACATTATATGGCTAAGAAACTTTTAATATGTGATGTTCCAGCATACAAGTTCAGCTGCATGCAGGCAACAAGGGGCCAGCATACACCCAAATATTATATTATTATAAATTAATTTTAAGTAATATTTCATAGATAGTAATTTTAATATATTTTGTACAATAAAATACAATTAAGTACAACTTGTAGCAAAGATATTAAAGAGAGTAATATTTATCTCAAGTGTTAAAGCTGCAATAACGTGTGTGTACGCACAAGGCATATTTACACAGCACACACGCACGGCAACAACACACCATGTGCTGCACACTATAGTACATAATTAATTTTATTACTTAATAGAATATAAAGACACGCCCAAGCTGAGAACTTCTCCACTTATTTTACAGATTTCAATGCATGATTAGCCAATGAACATGCCTGTACTCCACTAGCAGATTGCTATTAAATAATACATTGATCGTCGCTTAATATCACAGCTAATTATGCTTTGAAAATTATAGACATGTCTAATTTTCACTAATGTAGATAACAATGTAGAGTATAAGTAGACAATCTGAATTAATTTACATTACAATATCATGTCTTTTCATATGAAAAATTTAAAATTACATTACCAAAAATTAAACAGTGCAGCGCATTATAAATAAATGTGCATACCTTAATATTTAATTGACTAAATAAATTTGTTGCCTGCAGATCTGACATATTTTATTTAAATATCGAGAGGTAATATCTTAAGAGAAATTTTAACTTCAACTATTGAAAAAAAGTTAAATCCAAATTTAAAAATATTTTGTATTTTATTACGACAATTCCCTTCAAATCCACCTAGTTATTATGAATGTGAAATATCATTCCAAAAGCTGAGTCTCCGTCACACATATTTCACTACCACTATAATTGTGGATCAAAATGTAAGGATCGAAGAGAAGTAGCAGCTAGCACTTCACGAATGTGCATTGCTGTTTACATGCGCCTTCTTTTCCTGTGCATCAGGTGTACGTTGGCCATCACGCCTAGGTGGCATGCGCTCATTGATAGCATCCAGACCCTTTGCCTCAGCAAATGAAGTTATCTTATGATTTGGAGAGAAGCCCTGAAGGGCATTCTTGAGAGAAGTTTTACCACCAGAGAGAGCACCCAATGGCAGAGCACCAGTGGGAGTGAGCCCTTTCAGTTGTAGAACAGATTCACTTTCCTCACGAAGTACAGAGAACACATGGGCCATTTTGCCAATAGCACGAATCTTATTGCGGATGACTTCTTTCCTGAGATTAGCTTCCTCCAGTGCATCATCTCCCTCAGACATCAATTCATCATCAGAACAAATGTTTAGAACATTGACCAACATTTCTGTTACTTTCTCCCCTACAAATGGAAGAGACCAGGTAAAGACATCCATGAAGTTGGGCAACCAGTATGGATGAGGAGAGCAGTTAAACTGCCTTATGTTCATCACATTGTTCTCATATTTTAGAACAGCAGCTTTGTTGTTATAGACATCCAAGTAGTTAGGCGCAGAAAAGATAGTAATGAGACTGGGAAATCCTGTGGTTTGGCTTTTACGATACATTCGGTAACCTGCATCTTGAGCTTCATGAGCACGTATGATGGAGAGTAGATTGTTTCTCTGTAGAAAATCACAACAGGCTGCATAGCTATAGAAGTATGAACAACCTCTGACTGAGTTGTGCGAGAAATGTTCTGCATTCTTCTCATTTCCAAAGTCTTCCAATGGATCAGACCAAAGCAGGTCACACATAGCTCCAAATGCAGGTGGTTCTTTGAATCTATCTAGTTTACGAATATCATCTAAGCTGTTGATCTCGGGAGAAAGACCTCCATGCACACATAGGAACTGCTGGTTCATAAGAGCAGCAAGAGGTAAGCAGTCAAACGCGTCCATACATGCATCATACACCTTTTCAGAATATTTGATTTTGCATTCTTGTTTGAAAGTGAAATACTCTGTCAAATGTCGGCATTCGTGATTACCGCGTAATAGGAATAACGTCTTCGGATAACACAACTTCAAAGCCCAGAGGTAAAGAACACATTCTATACTGAAATAACCTCGGTCGACATAATCACCTAAGAATAAATACTTGGTACAAGAAGGAGAGCCTCCCACCTCGAACAATTTCATCAAATCATAAAATTGGCCATGGACGTCTCCGCACACAGTCACCGGTGAATCGATCTCGATCATAGTTTTTTCTGATCGTAATAAGGTGGCACCATCTTGGATGATTCGCAAAGCTGCATTTTCCTCGATGCGACCTTCTAAGATAAAATGTTGCTTCAACACCTCAGGTAGAGGCTTTCCACTTTTTTCATCGAATACTTCAGATACAGTGAGCTTGCGACTGGGAGGGAAAGCAACACTTTGAATCATACGCTGCGTAGTCGACACTTTATCATTGCTCCCGGACATATTTGTCACATAAAAAACACTAGGTCTAATCCATACACGCCACTATTTTCAAAATGGCAGAATAGATATAATACTAAAACAGAATCCCGATTTCACGACAGAGAAACTACTGCGCACTGGAAAACAATGCGCAAACATCTGGCGAGTGGTCAATAAAATAAACAGGGATATCGAGCGCGTTTTATTACTTTTGAAAATATCATTAAATAGTAACACTGGCAATTTAAGGAACAGTTGCCAGTAAGGTCTTTAAATAAACCATTACAAGCTCACGTATGTTTATATAACAAAATGGAAATCACATAGAAACTTGTGAAAAGTGAAATCCTAATCATAATTTAAATCATTTTAAAAAATCTATAGTTCTTTCTTTATTTCTCATAATGCTTAGAATGATAATTTTAAAACATATATAAAATGTGTAGACAATTATTATTAGTTAATGTTGGTTAGTAAAATAATATTTAACAACAGTTTATAGTCATTTATTGCGTACGACGCTTCATGTTACATATTTTCTACCTCTAAAACAATTAATCTTATTAGAAAAAAGTCGATTGCACTTTAGGTTTCATTAATATTACAATGTATTCAAAATAAATGTTTCTTAAAATATTAGGTCACACAATGGTGATTTACTTAAATGGTTTCGTGTAACAGAGTTATTTGATACCACGGCATCCTTGATTTGGCGCGTTTTTTAAATAATAAAATGTACTTAGCTCATGGAATTACTTCACAATAATTTTGTAGTGTAATGGTTAACAATAGTTCCAATCCGAAACTAATAAGATTATTGAATTTTATAAGCTTCCAGAAAAGTAATAATTATGGTCAGACTAAACCTTATAAGTCGAGTAAATTGTTAAAATGTTTTTATTCTAATAACTATAAGATATCCAACAAGAATATTTTAAGTTCTTAGTTTGTGTTTTTGTTTTTTTAGTTTTGTTGTAACTGTAGTTTTTAGTGCTAATTACTGTACACCAACTTCTGTTATGTGTTTGAAGTCCGTTGTTGTCGTATTACTCTTGTGTTTTTGGTAGGTACACTGAAATCGTAAAATTAAAGTTGTGTTTTTAAAATTATACAAATTATTCTGACTTGTTTTAGTGGCCTTCTATATAAATATCTACCAGATTTTTTATTACCGCTTCAGGTAGATTTAGCATATTTTGCCTTGGCCTGCTCGAAACATTATCGATATCAATGATATTATGAGTAAAAAGGTGCACCATTTTACATAAAATATCATTGATCGATATCATATTATGAACGCCAACTGCGTTACTTAGTATAGGTACCTAAGTACTGGTTTAAACATAGGCGCTAGTTCCTGATAATATAGTATGTTCTTTTTGAAGACAAATGTAAAGATTTTGTTTGTCAATAAAAAAGGCTAGTAGCTATAACTACCTAGGTATTCTATTATACTTAATACCTGAAAATTGCCTTTTTCTCCCTTGGTAATTATTAGTTAAATTACTACTCAACTGAAATTGTTTTTTTCGGTGCTTCGGCAATAAAACTTAATCTGTTGGCACTTAAGTTCCAGATGGTAGCTATAGTCTGATGATGATGATGGAGGAATAGTTTTACTATGTAGGTACCCTTGGAAAAAATCAAAAACTTGCCAGCCTTAAAATTGACGGAGTATTGACACTCAATCTAATAATGTAGGTCATTAGCTGAAAGTAGGTAGGTAGGTACCTACTCATACTATAGTTAGTTTCTAATCGGGCTGCTGCCCAAACAACAGCTAGATCGTATATACCTACCACATTATTTTTATCGCTATTCGCTGTAGCGACTATTTATACTTTTATTTCAGGGGATTTACCTATGTAGATATTGCGTGAAACAATTGCTTTGTATTAATAACTGTCAAATGTTTATTCTTGTCATTTTGTTTAGATGATAGGTGCTGTGTTAGTTTGCCTACGAAGTAAATATGGAACAGTATGGAGGTACCTAGAAACTAAAAGTAGATGTTTTTACTGGATGGCTTTATCTGCCAACGTAGTAATTACCTCAATGTGATTATTTATGAACTTCGTTTTTCGAACGTCCGTTCGAATCGGATTAGATTTTATGTAATTTAACACCGCTCGTGTGTTGTTATACCTACCTTCTTTGCTCTATCGACTAGTTCACTACTTAGGCAAGTTGTTGGAAAGAATAATCTAATTTATTTTTAAATTGCGATGTCCAACCCGTCTGCCAAACGTATATTATGGCGAACCTCATTTATATGAAGGATGCCCGCAGTCCAGCAGTGAGCTGTCGAATATGCCTATATTTATAGTTCATCTTTCTAAGGTATAGGTACGTACATTTCTAAGGCTAACTACTTACATATATACTTAGCACAAAATTAGCTCAAATATATGTAGGCCTTCCTCGTTACAGGAGGAAAAAAGAAATGTAGGTAAGTTGGTCTCCCGTCCCATAGTCCCCACCTTAACTTTGAGTAAAACACAAAGTTTAAATTCAAATTAATAGTATTGTCAATATTAATGTCATAAGAACACTCGGGACGGGTTTTTGGGTAATTTCGCTACAATTTTTATTTAGGATCCTCGTCGTGTGTGTTTCTGTAGCGGCAGGTAGTTGTATAGGTAGAAAATGTTAATGAAATAAACGATTTGCACATCAATCTATGCTTGATGCTCGGCGTCCCAAAAACCGCACCTTTTTATGAGATAGAGCAATCGAACAGACGTATTTACGCAACACCAAAGTAGTTAGAAGTGCGTTGCCGGCCTTTTGAGGATAAGGGTTTCGGATATTTAAGGATCGGGGAAAGGATAGGGAGGGCGAGGGATTGGGTAACCTCACTCACACGGCGAAACACAACGTTGTAGTTGTTTCACGGTGGTTTGTTGAGTCTCCCACACTTTCCTCTTTAAGAATTCCCTTCAAAGTCATTTTAACTCTTTTTTTTGTGAACAAAAAATCATCAGATGATTACACTCCCCTAGGGTATTATAGCGAGAGGGTTTTTTGCTTCATGGGTGACTGGGAGTGTCATTACAGAAACGACAGGTACCTACTCTCGTCTCATCCGAGAAGAGCACAATCCCTGTCCGTCAATCCATCTATTGTCGTAACTACATGGTCACGAGCAAAATTGCAAACGATCTCCCCTATGTTGTGTAGTCAGTTTTGGCATTGTAGCAGCTCTATGAGCTTCAATTTTCTTCTCCCGTAGGTACCTATTCTTCTTTAGATATGCTTTCAAAAGTTATGCGAGCTGATAGCTGTTGTAGTTGTAGTTAACAGCATTGGAGAACCAATTTCGTAAAAACGTCGAAACAAAAAAGGTACTTTCAATTGATACCTACACCAATATTACCTACTTAATTGAGTTTGATGTATCTATTCGATTACCATTTAATTAACTGCGTTTTGTCTGGAAGAGTTGAACCCACTGTTTGATAGCGCATAATTTTTTCTAAGGAAAAGATCAGCTGTTTTTCCCGAAAACAGTGCCACGGTGTTACTTTAAATACGGTAGTATTTGTGATAACTACTTCTCGTACCAGGCCGTGTTGCAAATGTATCGTACTTGAGTAACGGCGTGTTCGCCTACAATCAGGTGGACAGTAAGCTTTGTTCCCAATAGTAGCCGTAGGTTAATAAATTTTTCAGAAAGATTTTTTTCTTTTTAGCTCATTTAGCAAATGCACAATATTGGCAACCGAGTTTGTGTCCTACAAATCCCACATAGATAGAGCGTAGGTATTACCAAACTTACACGATTTCAGTCCTCGTGCTATTATTACTAATCTCAATAATGGAGGAGCGAGAGGAACTGGGAAGCCGTCTCCTCTTTCTGCTAAGAAGTGATGCTTACAAAAGAGGGGGCTTATCCTTCACACGCCCCAGCCACCGCAGTAGGCGACATTCCGGGTGTCGGGAATCGAGAGATGATCTCCGGCCACCGTAAGCGCGGGTCATGGACGGCGAGTAAGAGTAGCTCGCTGCCGGGTCAGAACCAGACCCGGGCGTATGGCGCGTCGCGTTTTGCGCGCGCCTCAAAGAGCCAATAAGTAGACCACTACAGACAGGGCGCTATAGGGCTGATGTTCAGCCGGGGCTGCAGGGTAAGCGCAATAAATCACCGGGGCCTCGGCCTAAAGCAGGAGAAGGAACCGGGATTATAGTCAGTAAGAGTCTGACACTCCATCCCGCCTCGGGTTACCATATATAGAGGGATGCCTGCCTATGGTACCTAAAATGCCTGTATTTTCAGAAAAATTACTGTCAAAAGCAAAACGATGTAGGAAGCCAACAGATAATAATGACAAAGGATATTTATTACTTATATTTGTCAGAACACATTCCTTTTTATACGTATAAATGTTAACAAGATACAGTCTTCTAATTTTCCTGAGTAATCAATATTGCCTTTACTAATTCAATTATCAGCCGATTTCTTTCTTAAAATGCCTGTCTAATGCCCGTTTTCACCAACAGCCCCTAAAATTTAAGTGTCTCTTATAATGCCTGTCAAATGCGGCAAACGCCTGCCATATGGTAACCCTACTCCCGCAATCAGTATTTTTGTTTTACGGTGAGTAATATTATTTCAAAATGCGTATATTTGTGGTTTCAGTTAGTTTTTTGTTGTGAATTAGATAAAAATGTCATCTGAGTTTGATGAATTTTAAATACTTTTTAGTACAACATGTTTAGGTAATCAAGTAGTTAATTTGGATTGCAGTCATTTATTTGATATGCATTAGATTATGGTACAGGTGCATTTAAATATTCCCTTTTATTAATAGGTAAATTATTTTATCTGTGTAGCCCTACTTTTAGTCTTAGGTTTAAGTAGGTATCTGTTGTTTAGTTTGTGCCTATTTCTCTTTCTCCTGGTTATATTTTGTAACACAGTGTCTTGTGTCTTTGCATTTTCACTTTCGAAGGACTGCAGGAAGATAATCCAAATAGGAATATGCAGTACCTGTGTTCCTCTATTCCTGATATCATGTAGGTACTTATTATATGCATGAATTTATACTTATAATAAATACAATTCTGTACATTAAATATATTGTCAAAATAACTTTCAGGGTGTGGTTTGTGATAGATAGGTAGCTACTGATGCCAAAAATGTAATCAGTAAATCTTTTGTCTGTCTGTCTGTTTGTTACTTATAGAATCAAAAACTACTCAACAGATTTTAACGAAACTTGGTACAATTTATTCTTCATATTCCTGGGCAGGTTATAAGATAAAAGAGCAAAGCATCAAGAGCAGAGCAGTGAATGGAAATGTTGAGAAAACGGGAGAAGTTACTCCATTTTTTTAGCGTCCGTCGTGTGTGCAGTATTTATGGTTAAAGTTACATATAAATCATGTATCACGGGAATGTTCTACATAAAATGATCTACAAAATATCCCACAACAGTAGGTACATATATGTTTATCTTGTGGTTGACTCACAATATCACGTGTAACTCCTGATACCTTAACAGTTCGGAGCATTCTGATTATATTTGTTTATTCTTACGTTTATAATGCTCTCTTTGTTTATCCACGTAGTGTAATGTAATTTGTAGATCCACGGCGTCTTTACCTTGGGCCTGACGCAGATGCTTACCGGGCACGGCAGCTTCGGTAGGTTCCTGTTTCGGATTTGGCGGTAGGAAACGCCCGATCGTCGTCATTGTGAGGATCACCCTGAAGACCCTGTGGAGCATACGGTGGCGGTGTGCTCTGCTTGGGCTGAGCACCGCCTTGTCCTCGGGGAAGTGATAGGCGGCGGTGACCTCTCCGCGCGCGCTTCAATGAGCTAATAGACCACCACAATGTTCTACCGGGGTAGCGGTGCAAGCGCAATGAGGCATTGCAGCCTCGGCCCAGAGCAGGAGAAGGAACGTCGGGGTTTTTAGTAAGAGTCTGACACTCCCTCCCTTTCAAGTCATTTGATGATTTTTCTCCTTACAAAAAAAAAACCTCATTTGTAGATTTTAGAAAAGTAGAGGGTATTGTTTATCCTACCACATACACATATATAAGCATATTATTGTGGATTGAAATATTATATTCCCTACTAAAATCGAAAGTTTATCTGTATGTAACATCAAAACCACTGAACGCTGAGGACGAACATTTGGTAGGTACTTCTTTACGAAAAACAAATAAAACACGGACGAAGTCGCGGGCAAAAGCTAGTAAGTACCTAATAAGTAAATAAATCAATTTTATATTCGCAACAAGGAATACTACTAGGATATTATATACATATAGAAAGTTTCAAGTTTTATTTTTTTAATTGACGAGTGTTTTTGTATCTTCCGAATGAAGTGCTTTCGACGATAGGTATACCTACGTACTTAAAAAGTATAATAATGATACTACATATGTAGACTTAAAATACCATTTGAATACGGTATGGTTATATTTTATACCATAGATTATACACCATAAAGTTGCTGGCTTCCACTTCTAAACTTTCATCCGTTTTACCTAAATATAGTTTTGAGTGAAAAAATAAAAAAGTACCTGTCTTTTACATAGGTATTGTTTCATTTTCCAACAGGCGGAATAAATGTCGTCCACCGCTATTAATAAGGATATTCACCTTAATATTAGCACTAAACCCGAGCACGGTTCTTTATTAGTTTCTGATGTTTGGACTTCAAAAGAAACTGTGATGTTAAATTTTGTTTTGGTGTTTCTTCTCAGAATGGTAAGGAAATGCTGTGACTAGCTTTATGTTCGCCATTATTAGCGTTATTTTCGAAAATTGATATTTTATGTAGCTTATTTGCAAAATAAACTAGCATTTACTACATATATAGCATTTATTAGGATCTATCGTAAAAGACATATCTGTTATTTGTCAAACCATTTACTTAATTAAGAATAAAATAACTTAAACATGAGGAAACATACAATAAAAACTGTATTTCTAGAAATATTTGCATACAACAGTTTTTAAGTTAATTAAACTAAGACTCCTGAAGGTTCTTATTAACATATGTTAATGTATATCGTCAGTTCACCGTAACAGCAGGATCAACAGTTTTGTACTTTGGTTTGCTGTGAGTAAATGGTAGATACCGGTACTTGATCATGTGCTGTGAAAAAAACAGAAAATGTATGTTAAACACATTTTTATAAATTATATAATATATAATAGATTTTATGAAATTATCGGTTGGATTTTATCACAAGTATGAGAGAGCCAAGCTTCGGCACGCCATGGCCTCACAGAAAACCGGCGTGAAACAACCACAGCGTTGTGTTTCGCCGTGTGAGTGAGATTACCGGAGGCCCAATCTTTCCCTTCCCCAATCCTTGAATATCCAAAAGGCCGGCAACGCACTCTTCACTCTTTTGGTGTTGCGTGTGTCCATGGGAGGCGCCGATTGCGTACCATCAGGTAAACAGTCAGACCGCCGACTAATTTCACAAAAAAATTAAGCCACTAAGTATATTTTTATTTAGGTACGTATTCTATTAAGTTAACTAATAAATTATATTAAGTGAGTAGAGTGGTATTTGCAGTATGAAGAAAATAATGATCAATGAGTTGAATCTAAGTGTACAGGAATAAGAGCTCTTACCTTGATTTGTCTCTTCATAGTAATACAGAATAGGGTTATAAAATACATTACTAATATTGGCCAAAATACTGGAATATTAAACGCATCTATGAATGTACAGCAGAAAGCTATCAGCGTGCTTTTGGTGACAGAGAGCCAAAACTTAAACTCTGGCAATCTTCTGATAAACGGTCTAAACTCTTCGGTAGCTCTGGTTGGTAAGGCTGGACCATTATCGTCATCACCTAAAACAAAAATATACTGATTATTAGTCATCAATCATCAGCACAGGGCGCCTGCATCGTTGGGGAGAGGTTTGGTAATCAACTACTCAGCCACGACTCGTGGCATGAAATATTGGATCACCGAAGTGCACGTATTTTTGTATGTACCTAAACGAACTCATGATACAGTCTCAGAGCCTGCAAAAACATTTCTTAAAAATACTTTAAGATTGATACAATTACTCACAGCTCTAATACCTTTTTTCTTTAATTTGCTTAAAAAAACTTTGGCCCACATTATGATTTTCTCTTGTGGCGTGGGTGCAATTAAACAAACATACAATTTCACATACCTACACATCACACCCAGACCCGGAACAACAATTAGTGGATCACACGATTCCTTGCGGGAATCGAACCCGCGATACGTTACGCAGCAGCCAGTCGCCCAACCACCGCGCCAGCCGTGCAGTCAGCACATTAATAATTAGGTACTGTATTTATTATCACAAGTATTTCATAACTTAATAATAGTATATTATGGGGTGTATATTGGTGGGCCAGTTACTACAAGGAAAATCAATTAAGACTTATTTTACAACCATGTTGATAATAAAATAAAATATTGTAAGATGTTTTTGAAACCATAACTCCACATTTTGCCTGTTACATGTCACAATGTTGTAGTTGTTTCATATTAGGTCAGAAATAACGAATTGTAAATAAATATTTAAAAAAATATTTTTTGTTTTGACAATTATTATTGTTCTAAAGTCTCCCTAGACAAACAGTTATCGAGTGGTAACCAGTGTGACTACAGAACAACGTTTCTCAGATTCGGATATAACATCAATGCATATTCGAAACATCTAATTGATAGCTGAGAGTCTCGAATTGTGTTGGTTTCTGTAATAATAATAATAATTTTGTTACGAGGGTCAAACTGAAAGTTCTTAGAACTGGCCACTTATAAACAATATAATAAAAGAGAGAAATTTGAAAAATAAAAAGAGTTGCCATCTAAGGTGAAGAGAGATCGAAGTGCGGGAAACAAAATAGTGGCCTCGTTCTTTGGAAGGATAGGTCATTGCGCAACAATTGTGTTAGAGGATTAAAAAACAGTTTCTGCAGAATGGTACACTACCAATTGTTTGCCACTTGTCTTGGAAAAAGTTCGAGAGAAACGACCTCGCATTAGGATCCTCCTTCACCACCACAACGCCTCGTCGCACACCACCAAGCGAACGATCGACTATTTGGCCACATCAAACGTTGAATTACTGAGTCACCCGCTGTATAGCCCCGACCTCGCGCCTTGTGATTTTTATTTATTTCCTTTAAGAAAACTTAAAGGAAAGCGGTTTATGAATGCTGAAGAAAAGGTGGCTGCGTATCGCGATGCCATTGAAGAGCACCCTAAGGACGAGTGGGCAAAGTGCTTTTCCCAGTAGTTCCATCGCATGCAGTGGTGCATTGACGTGAATGGACAATATTTTGAAAAGATATAATAAAACTAATAACTGGCTAATGTTATCAGTTTTTTTATATTCTAAGAACTTTCAATTTGACCCTCGTTTGCTAAGCAACTGACCGAAGAGCAGTATATATTTCTTAACAATAATAGCCAATCAAATTCAATTAAGGTTACGCCTACTGTGGTACAGACACCTACCATGAAAAAATGGTGCTTATTAATTTCACATTCTTTGAACACTGAGATGTGAGTTTGTGAGAGTCAAATATATAAAGCAGTGCAGTTGCGCTTTTTTGTTTTTTATTCCGATCATGACTATATAATAAAAAAAAATATGCAAATTGTAAAAAAATGGGTTATGAATGCTAATATTACAAAGAGGTAACATTTGTATGTTTGTAAGTTTGTATATATGGGGGTAATCTTTGGAACGGCTGGTCGGATTGCCAAAATTCTTTCACTGATAGATAGCTACAAAGTTCCTGGGTGCTATAGGCTATAAAACATCACGCTACGATTAAATGGAGCCGAGCAGCGGGTGAAACCGCGCGAGAGTAACTGGGTGATTCTCCAAAAAACCTTAACTTTTATTTAACAAGTCATTATCCTCCCAGGTTTTTAAGCATCTTAGTAATTTATTTTATACAATATTTTTAATCGGTTGCTTGTAAGCAGTGGTGAGATTTAATTTAATAAAATAATTATCTGTGTTTTAATCAGCAGACTCGTTAATTTTCGGTTGAGGATAATGACATTATTAAATTTTTTTTAATTGATGTGAAGAATCACCCAACTAGTACTAAATATATTGAATATTCTGTAGTATTTATGACAAGGCAAGCTTCGTAACTAGAAATTATTATAAGCGTTAGAACACTGAAGAAAATTCTATGTGTAGTGTTTTAAGTCCATATTCAATAATTCTGGTTAACTTCATACAATAAAGACTAATTAATAAATTGGTCTTGTAGTTAAAAAAAAGTATTTTCAGGAACATAAATAAAAAATGCATATACAATTTATTCCTAAATGAATGATGAATGGAATGATGATGGATGGATTTACTGATCTTTAAGATGACTCTACAGTTCAAGCAAACTACTTGCGTTTGTTAATATCTAATTGGTAATGTTTTTTTTATTTCTTTAAATAATTAGGGACTTTTATACCACACAGCGTAATTGGTAATATTTGTTGATCAAAAAAGAATATCGTAATACAGAAACTCCTTCAATTTTCTTTTAAACTGCCCCACACTTATATTCTCGCTTGTATTGTGGGTGTATACACAAAAATACGATTTTACACCTATGTATGTGTGAAATCGTATTTCTTAGATAATATTATTAGAGCTTCAGATTTGTCACATAAAGTTTTCTTTGAAGCAGGAATCAAATTCACAATGACTATGCATAGCAGTTAGTTGCCTGAACACTGCACCAACTGTGGAGTAGGGTTAACATTTATTTAAATAGGAAAGTTCAGTAACAAAATTAATATGACTCACCATCAAAGTCCATGGCCGGATCAATCTTCGGTGTTAGGAATGCAATAAACAGGTTTAAATGATAAATGCCCAAAGCATATGTGACAATGTACCATCCCTGGAATAGAGAGATTATAAAATTAATATTAAAAAATAAAATTAAACTTATACCCCTTTATTACAAAACAAGGTTTATCTTTAGTCCAGGTTTAAACCATTGAGTCGGGTTTTGAATTTTGAATCTTATTGTCATCTTTCTTCAATTCGAAATACGAAAACTGTCTCAATGGTTTAGTCCTAGACTAAAGTAAAACCTTGTTTTGTAATAAGGCCGAATGTGTATGAGTGTGTTTAACTTATGTGATTTTACATCAAAATAACAAAAGTGTTGGTTGATTAAATATGCTATTTATGCTATAAGTCCTTGAAGACTGTGATAAATATTAATGAACCTTAATCCAGCAGTTTACACCCATATGCAATGTAAGGACATTTTTGGTATTTTTTTATACCTTGAACTACATTATTGAAGTTAAGTCTGGATCTCTAATTTTCTTCAAAATTAGATTGATATTAAATTGATTACAAATAGGTCAAATTTAAAGTAATTTTATTAATATTGTGGCACTAATGTTTTAATAATGTTAGGCACATAGTAAGTCTTAGCTCACCTCACACTGACCAGTTAATTTGGTCAATAAACATAGATTGTGCCTTAAGGAATAACAGTAAATACTATTACTAACATAGGATGTATATAAAATGTTTCATCAACTGCATATTATTTATAAATATGTCACATTTGCCTTATTATAAAGACTTAAACAATTTTTTTTATTTTTTATACATATTTCACTTATAGTGTTTGATAGAAACAAAACAGGTTTTACATGCGTAACAGAAACCTCAATGAAATAGGTTTTCTTTTAAGGAACCTTAACCTGAATATAGATTGTATTCATAATAAATCACATAAGGATGAACTTTAATAGACTTTATGGGTTCTGATTTACATGGTGTTCTATATAACTAAAGATTAGTGATGTATATTTGTGACTTATTATATCAGTACAAATTATTTTATACAGCTATATGACAACTAGGATATCCTCATTACAGTAACTACATTTATCTGTATTTGGTTACATGTTATATGTTGAAACAGTACTAAAAGAGATAAGATAAGCATAACTTACTTGCTTTGTGAATATTCGTAGCATAAACAAAAGTAGAAGAACAAAACTTCCACCCCATCGAAACTTGGCATGTGGTGTCCATTTATCTAATGTACCTTGGTAAATCTGTAATAATATTTCATTGCTAATTAATCAATCTTGCAGTACCTGATTATTCCTTGGTTTATACAAGTATTCTTAACCTGTTTCAAATGGTTAATCTATTTATTGACTTATTTCTGGGAATAATGGGTAACGAATAAAATGGTTATTTAATTAGATTCTTATCAAAAAGTTGTTCATTTGCTTACGTTTTAGAATTAAAATACATCAAATTTTTTTGTCTAGTGAAGTTGTTATTTTTTAAGTTAGTATTTAGTAGTAGTAGTTTTATGTAGTTTAGTTGAATATGGCTATTGATTATCTGATTTGGAGCGATGCAATTGTAAGTAATCGTAATTCGCGGTAAAAGATATGACAACTCATAGAAGATTAGTGTAACAAATGTTCTGTCACTTACTTAAAATTAATGAAAATTTATAACCCCAAATAAGAAATTTACCTGAGAAATTCGTGTCCATGCTTGTGAAATAATACCTCTTCTTGAAGTTTCAGTAACTAAATCATTTCCGTCCATCATTTTATATCCTCTAATTTCCTGAATCGTAAACTAATGCTAGATGTACATTACTGACACATAGCCATTAAAGGACTGGTATGGAGTAAATATTTACACGTTATAGTAATTTACAAGTTATATTTACATCTAAAACTTGTATTTTAACAATAAGCTTCCTTTTTTGCCAAAAAAAAAAATTGGAATGAGAGACTAGCTAGTTGGAACCTTGAAACCTAGTTTTTCTCTGTGGCACGGTAATGATGGGACACATACTAGTGAAATGTATCGATTTCTATTTAATTACAATCTAAGTTATTGTACTGAATCAATGTTAGGGTTTATATTCTGGGTTCCAGAATGTAATGTTTTCACAAATACTAATTTAAAAAATATCCTTGGTATCTTCAAGAATAAATGACGACAATAAATATGAAATTTTGCTATTTTTATTTTTTACCGTTAGTAATAGTGCTAAAAGTAACAGAAGCAGAATTTAGTGATAATGTGTCATCAACTTTTGGATGGTATAAATCGATTTTAAATGATGGGATGCGAATGATTTAGCTATATATAATATTTTTGGGAATTGTTGTACATCACTATAGTTGAAGCATGATGTTGACGTCGACAGATTCGTTTTGAATTAATTATTGATGTTGCCAGAATATTTATATACTTTTTTTACTACATGCTTGCCAAAATCCTTTTTTTCAGACTAGAGATCCATACACTAGTATTAGTAATGTCTTATTCTAAAGTTAGTAGAAAACAGTAGTTATTAATATTTATCAATTATAGACATGGACATGAGGACGCACATGTTTACTTGCCCAATGTTTAATGAACGGCCCATAATTTTGTTTGCCAGAGTAGCTAGTCTAGTAGGTATACTGTTAGGATTTCTTAGGATTGTCCCTGATCATCACATCATGTAGTCCCAACAGCATCCTTGCTGGACCGCCCATTTGCGGAAGCCAGAGTAAATGACTTTCATCAATGATGGGCTAAGGATAGAGCATGTTTATATTATTGAATATGTTATGTTAAGTAAGTAGATAGTATGTAGTTATATAGGAAATAACATTGAGCAAGCTATTTTCATACACGTCATTATTATTAAATTTGCTACCGTTGTATGGCGAGTCAGTGGTTTGATTTAATTCATTAAGCTCTCTATAGACTACCACATGATATAATACTACATTGTAATCGCCCTTGGCCTCCGATATGTGGGGTTCCAAAAACCCCTATGCTTCCCTGATCAAATCCTACCAGCGCCCGTCCGAAACCGAACTCACATTGAGGCACAAATTAGATATTTGTACAGTTGTTTTTTACTTTTTGCTCGAAACTTGTAAGAAAATGTAAGATAAAGTAAAAAAAAAACAACTAAAAATGAATTTTGCGCTACGCAAGCCGTTGCTAGTCGTTTTTAATCGCCATAAATGAACAACTAGTGGCGAATGTGGAGGAGGATGCCCTCGACATTCGCTACTGCGTGCGTCAGAAGTTAAAGTACGTCCCCGCCAAATTCAAGGCGTCAGTGGTGCGGTGCCCATGTGTGTCTTGCACCTCGTGTTTAACGAGAGCTTCAGTACAACAGGATGTGGTGTTCCGTCGCTTCCACAGATTTAAGTTTTTATATACCTACTAGCTACTCCACGATGTTTCACCCGCTGCTCGGCATTTAATCGTAGCGTGATATTTTATGGCCTATAGCACTTCGGGACATTGTAACTATCTATCACTAAAAGAATTTTGGCAATCCGACCAGTGGTTGTAGAGATTACCCCTACATACAAACTTACAAATTTTACCTCTTTATAATCTTAGTAGACTAACAATTATTATTAACATAATGATAAAAATGCTAGTCTGAGGTATTGGTATCTTATAGGCCACTGTACCTTAAAATAGAGGTGTGATTTGATAAACACAGATTGCGATGGAGAAATTCTGTATTCCATGGGAGCTCTTTGACCTAACGAGAGGGACAGGTTCCTAATACAATGAGATAATGCAAGCTCTCCTCAACTAAATTTAGTTTGTCCGTTCAGGCAGTGTTAAAAATACTTAGAACAAAATTTCAAGAATTGTTTTCTGAAACTTATTTTTCTCTTGAGGTTTCTAGATTACAATAAGGGTTACTTATACAACCTTAGATAATAGCTTTTGATCTTAAAACATATCTCATCTATTTATTAGATTTGTTTAGGTTGTTTTATATGGATTGGGTATAACAAAACTGCAAGATTTGCGTTTAAGAAATTTAATGGAATCATTTTTCTAATTACAATTTATACATTGTTATATCTTACATTTTTAATATAACTTTTATCTAAATAAAGTCGTACTAAAGAGACTACTAATAAATAACATGAAATAAAAAAAATATGCCTTATGTAGTCTCTACATCTACGTCTATTATTGCGAGTGTTTATTTACAATTACATCACTATATCATAAGGTATTGGACATACAATAAAACATACTTTATCTTAAAATATTATCATTGCTTTGAATATAAAGAAAATTTTGGTCCAGCTAAATCCTATCATACTAAACGCAACTCCTAGAGAAATGGGTAGATATTGCTATTAGTTTCATAATTAGAATTTTACAATGCAGTAAAGTATTAAAACTTGCTAATAATAACCGTAATGTATTTACTAAGTTTACGCAAAATACGATACAATCGTAAAATTTATCGTTAATATTGATATTAACATTTAGTATAACCTCACCTACGCCATAATAGGTGCTAATTTTCGAAATCTAATACGACGTCTGCTCTATAGCCTCAAAGACGCGTTGCGATGACAATTGCCATAATAACATTTTAGAAGAAGAATAAATGCTACAGTTAAATAATAATAATTTAACTTCAAAATACTGCAAATTAATACACAACATTTTTTATAATGTAATATAATTATAATGCACTGCCTCTCGGTTATCCGAACGACTTAGGTAATATATAGATACACTAACACTTTAGAATAAATATGAAATTAATGGAAGTATTTTTAGCACTCATCATAGTACTCATAACGTTATTGCATTCAATTAACTTTAATATCATCTAATGTGTAAGAGTATTATTATTATGAAACTTTGTCTTATCTAACAGTCCTTTATATGAATATTTCGGCAAATAACTATCCGAAACATGAGGGTTGTTTAAAAAAATATTTTACACTTTACTCCACTGTGCTTTGTGTTGTAATCAAAGGCAGTACCTTGTTTTGTGTTATAAGAACAACAAAACTATGGAACAGTAAAGAATAAAGTAAAGTAAAGAATAAATATAATGAAGATATTCATAACTAAAGTAGTTACATATTTAGGATAAAAATGACACTTTTAAATTATTCAGTGTTTATTGAATCCAGTACCGCCTTTGATTGTTTTACAAAACTTGGTATCTTTACAATACGTGATTACTGGAAGAGTGATACAGAAAATTTTCAAAGTTAGTTAAGGCATGCATGTTTCTTTGTTGATTGCATGATACAATATTTATTAAGATATTTTGTTGATAATAGTTTCTCTTCAGTTTTGTCTAGATACCACGCAATTACCAACTGTAAGTAATTTTCTGTAAATTTAATATTAAAAGTTTACACAATTTATTACTTAAAAATAAGTGTAGTTATGGGATGATTTTCTAAAATTCCAGCAAATGAAAATTAAAGTTAATATAATTTCTAACAAATTTAGTAAAATTAACTAGTCAGGTTTAACAACATGCAGCTGTGCCATATCCTTTTAATCTTGTCTTTATTTGAATGTCAATAAAACCCTTTTTATGCTAATGTTAGCATAGTCAATTAATAAAGTAGTCCTAACTTTGTAAGTAATATGGCACAGATAAGCCTGGTTAGACCTTCACAAAAATGTACAACATAATAAAATAACAAATCTGTTCCACACTTAAATAAATTCATAACAGATAATCTTAAGGATTCCAATTATCACAACATATAAAATTAATAAAATACTTAAACAATAAATCCAAAGATTCTTATACATTAGAGATTTATTCTTGAAGTTCATACAAGACTGAATTTATTAAATTTGATATGTACCTATGTAGTTACGATGTTTATTTGACTGCAGAAAAGTTTTGAATTTGGTTACTGTTATTGGATGCCACCCAGGAACTGAAGACATCTCTGGAAGTTACAAAGTAAATTAAGTTAATGCAAGGAGTGAACAATGTTGCATTGTATTTTATTTCATGTGACAGTTCCCAGTAATGTAATGTAAATGAAATAAATGACATTACCTGCAATGGCTAACAACACATTCATTAGAGCAGTATTCATCTTCCCATTCACTGTTAGCAATAGCTGGGTTAGTACACCCTTGCCGGATACATGATGGTGTACTTCGGTTTTCATTTTGCTGTAATGATACATTTTAGCCTTTTACAAGATATTTAAATAAATTGACTCTAAACTGAAAACTATATTTATGCAATCAGAATTTGTATAAATTTTAAATAGTTCTGAGTAAACTGTAAAAAGTAAAAGATAATAATATTTAAAAGTTATAATTATCTTATTTGAAAAAAATTTACATCGGCTGATTGTTGTGGGACTCCAGAATTTCCATTGTTATTAGATTGCTGATCAGATTTCTGAATTTGATTTTGTTGTTGTGTTGGTTGCTGTTGTTGCTGCTGCTGCTGTTGTTGCTGCTGCTGCTGTTGTTGTTGTTGTTGCTGCTGCTGCTGTTGTTGTTGCTGCTGCTGCTGTTGTTGTTGCTGATGAAGTTGCTGCTGCTGCTGTTGGTACTGCTGTACTTGGTGAGCTTGCTGCATCTGTTGGTGGGTCTGCTGCATATGCTAAAATAAATAAGTACAATCAAACACAACTTCTAATTAGAATATTTAAAAAGTATGTGACAGTGAATGTTGTTATTTAAGTACACACCTGCTGTTGAGAGTGATGATATTGCATGGCAGCATGCACTGAGCCCATGGGAGGGGACTGTGACTGCACTTGTCTGTATCCAGGGGGTGATAAGGCCGAATTGTTTGGGTAGTTAGTAGGGGATTGTGCAGGCTGATAGTTCCTTGGTGATTGGGCAAGATTAGGCTGGCAACCTTGTGGTGAAGTGGAGGGGTTCACTTGATAACCCTGAGGGGATTGATTGGGCACACCCTGCTGGAAAAAAAAAGATTTATAAAACAATGGCACCACAAATTATACAGAGGCTATACAATTTTATTCAGTTAATAGGATTGGTTTTAATATTTTTTACTTCACAGGTTCTTAATTATAAATATATATTTATTTTATAGCAGGTATTTTTATATTTATATATAATAATATTTAATATACATTATATTAGCATCAAATCTTACCTGGTATGTTTGAGGAGTGAGACTCATGTTGCCTTGATAGTTTTGAGGTGACTGCTGAGGGTTTGGTGGGTAGCCCTGAGGCGTCTGAGGTGGATAGGAGGCCTGATTCTGGTTTCCTGAGTAGTTTTGTGGAGAATATCCCTGTGAAGCAGGGTTTGGCGCATACCCCTGAGGCGAATGACCATTACCATACGTCTGTCCCTGGTAATAGTTACCATAAGTTGGATTGGCACTATTGGTGTGATTATACATCGGCTGACTTTCCTGTTCTCCTCCCTAGAAGCATATTGAAATGATAAATTTAAAACTACAAATACATAAGGTGCTTTATCATTGATATTGTGTTCGAATCGTTAGTAATCTAATAGATTTAAGGTCATAATAAAATTATTATTATCATAATTCCATATTCTAAAACATAGATTCCCAAAGTGGTCCAGGTGGACCCCCAGGGGTCCATAGGAGCCCGACAGGGGTCTACGCTTGCGTGGAAAATGAATGGGGGTCGACAACTCGTTAACGGGGGTCTATAAAAATGTATTAGGTGACCCGACTTGACTTCTTCTATGAATATAGGAAGACAAAATTATAAGAAGCTCAGCAATTGTTTTTGTAAGAACTTGCATATTCCATATTCAGAAAGAGAGTGTCAAGACTCGCCTATTCCGCGCCGCCCGCTCGCCTAGTAAAAGTCGTATCTGAACTTGCATGAATTTGTTGGATTTTTCCCTAATATAAGTTGTTTCCGGAATTTCAAAAAAGAACGTGAATCTAAGAAGAAGTGTCGACTGTACTGTCGACAATCAATATCAATATCAAAATTTTGATTATACATATTGCAAGAAATGCAATGTTATCTAAATTATAAATTTTGATTATATTGCGACTGTTTTTAAAATACTAATGATTATTAGTTTTGATGTTAAATTTTGATTCTACTAAGACTGTTATAACTACATATTAAAAGTGTAGTAATTTTAATGTTTGAATAAATAGTTACGAAACAAGAAAATATTTATTTTTACTTTTTACCACTCCGAAGTGGGAGCTTATTGGTTTCTTATACTGTGAGTCAATCTTAGAATACAAAAAAATAAAGTAGGAATCTGTTGGATGAAGACGCTTTTTAGACTGGCCTTGAACTCACAGCATAATCAAAGCAATATAAATTCTTACCTTTTTTTTTCGAAAACTCAGAGTTGATTGAAAAATAGTCACAACACAGATTTACATAGACATGTACTTTTTTCGGGTTTTGGAAGTAAGTTAGTAAATGTAATAGTTGCAGGGGGTCCACCAGATCCAGCAAAATGTTAAAAGGGGTCTATGAGAAAAAGAAGTTTGGGAACCTCTGTTCTAAAATATACTTTCAACAACATTTTAGGCATTTCCATGTCATATCATAATGCAACAAATTAAATAAATAATTTAAAGCATACGTCGAATACGAAAAGGCAAAAAGCCGGTGGATGCTGTAGATAATAAATAAAAACATAATCGAGATTACAATATTGTTTAAAATACGCATAATCAGATTCACTTGAGACCGAATACGTAATTAATAATAACATTTTTATAAAACTGTAAACAGATCAAGCTGCTAATAGTACGGGTATCTACAATATAAGCTCACTAAGTTCCTAACCTCAAACTACGCAAAGCTTTTGGATGAACTCTTTCTTACCAGACTTGAATTGGTGGGATGTGACATTTATGTTTACTGGAGTAATAAGCACAGTTTGTGTTGAATTACGCGCATAAAACAGTAAGGGACTTTAAAGTCACAACCAAAAAGTTAATTTACTAAAGGTATCAAACGAGAAAGCTACAACAAAAGCTTCGCGAGTTTCTGATTCCGACAGAGACAGACGGTAGACAACTGTCAAATCGACAAAGATGGAGAAAAGCGCCATCTGTGAGTACGGCAAAACAATGCTTCGTTCCCCGAATCTGCTGTAGTATAGACAGTAGATGGCGTTCGCCGAAGATATGGGTTTAGAATACTGGAATGGGATGACGTTATTTTTTATGTATAGATGTGTAAATATGAAATTCGTATTGTACATTACAAAATTATTAATCGGATAAAGCATTCAACTAAAAGTTTGTAGGGAAATTAATTGATAAGTGTTTAATAGCATTAATTTCAAAAATATTTTTCTATAAACAATACCCTTATATTTCCTTTTAAAACAATAAATCTTATACTTACAGTAATAATTTTAAATGGCATAATAATAAGTCAATGTTTTCTTTGAAAACTTAATTAAAAATGTAAATAGTAAATACCTTTGATACCAGGCTGGCTCTGTAAGCAGCAAGTGCTTTGAGATATTCCTTTTTAGCTACTTCTGTTTTCTGTTTATAGACCTGCAGTAAAACATACATTTATGAAGCTATTTTAACACACATTGCACAAGAATGTAATAACATTTTGATAACGATACTTACACTTTTGTGCTCAGAGTCTAATCCATCCCACATAGATGCTACGATTTTAGACACTTCACCAAAACTTGCATTTGGATTTTGACCTTTGATTGCGGCCTGGGTGTCTCGAAAGAACAAAGCATATGCGGAGACAGGCCTGCAACATGCACAATAAGTCAATTACAAAATATCTTACAAAATATGCGAAACAATTACTGGCATAAAAAAAAACTTACTTTTGAGGTTCATTAGGGTCTCGTTTCTTTTTCTTTTTCTGAACTTTAGGCTTTTTCTGCATCTGTCCACGATTAATTCCATTATCCATTGGTTCAGGTGATGATCTTTTTACTGCCATGTTGCCAACACTCATCTGTAAGTAAAGTTTAATTGATATTTTCGTTTATACTTCAAATTATCTGTAATCAATATAAATTCTAAAAATACAGTTCATTGGCAACATAAACATATAGATAACAAAATTGTGTATATCTTTCTAAGCATATGTAGGTTATGAAAAGCGATAAAATTTGCCTATACCTGATGAAGCGTAGTTTGTTGCTGCCGGCTCGCTGAGCAATAATGGATAGGCAGAAGGCTTTCCGCATCACCAGGCAACTACCAACAAACAACCAATTCATTAGAATTTTATACTTATATTTCTACTATTTGTTTTTGTTCATAATTTTATTACTACAAATAAAAAAGGATGCCAATGAACTATATCTCTAAGAAAAAGACTACACTTAATACTAGCAAAAAGAAACTCATAATTAAATAAAAGATGGGTGTGCTATTATTTTAATTTGCTATAGTAATGTTTGATTTTATTATTTAACTGGTCATGCAGCAAAATAATAATTATTTTGTAAAAAAAATTAACACCAAAATAAACCTCATATTTTCTGTAAAAATTGTTAGGTATTAACCTAAAATAGAAGTTTTTTAATACTGTATGTAAAACTACTGCAATCTACATTTCAGTGTGTCATATAAGAGATCTTGAATATGATATAAATATCAAATAGAATACAAAATCCACATGCTATTATAAAAAAAATATTATGATAAAAGATAAAGTAAAGATCTCTGGATTTGCCTGCCAGTATTGAAATAAGTAAAGCATGCACACTAATGAAATTGATTTTAAGTAATTTATGTGCTGATTTTTGTTATTATACTTTGTAATAAAACTATAGATAAAAAATCCTAGATCCACACATTAAAAAGCTAGTATAATTTCTAATGCATACATTATAAGAAAATAAGAACAAAAAAGTGCGATTGGAAAAACTATGGTACCTGTGAATGGTGTGAAGGCACGCTATCATCAGAGTCATCGCTGGTAGTGCCAGGGGGTGAAGCTCGCTGTGGGGATCCATATACTGGAGCTGATGGCTGTGTGGGAGTACTAGGAGTTGGTGGTCCATTCATGACTTGGGTTGGCTGTAGCATCAATAACCTTTGTTGTCCTCCAGGCTGTTGCTGGATCATGTAGTTCCCAGCTGGTGCACCAGCGCCACTGCAAGTTAACTCTATTGTTAGAAATCTGTACCAATCTAAATGGAAATCAACTGATTAACTTATTAAATGAAAGTCTGTAAACTTACATTTTAATCATGACATTGTCAGTGTGTTTCCATGCAGATCTGGGAATTAAAGAAAAAACAGTGTACCCAATACATAATTATATAAGTTTTAAAATATAAGTATAATTTTAAATGTTCATGAGTGTTAATTTAAAAGAACTAAGGTAAATTAAGATAAGCATAGAAAATTAAAAGTGTTTTTGTGGGAAAATACAAGTTTTAACACACATAGAAACTACTACTAATGTGAAGGAAATTTTCAAAATAAATATCATGCCAAAATTTACTATACATTGAACATTTTATTGCTCTAGTAAGTATTTTTACAGTGTAAGATTATGAAAAAGGTTTTAAAATATGTGGCCAATGTGGTTTATTTGTTACTTGTGTAATGTTACGAAATTAGCAATATGCAAAAAATATTTTATATGTATTTTGTAGCTTTTCATTGCCTGTTCTTTATTTTCTTTAAGTCCCAGATCAGAATGGATAATAATATATATTATATAGACAGTTTGCAACTGTAACATGCTTTGAATGACCCAGTGCTATTAAAATAATATGTCATTAATAATGCTGAATATAAGCTTATGTATTTGGCTTAGAACATTGAACCACAGCTTGTACACTATTATGAAGGTGATTAATTAAAAAAATGCGCAATGGAATGATTGTTGATTTTCAAGTCAGTACTCACCTGTGTGATGTCACTGGAGTATGTGGTTCTTGTAGGTATAGCGGTTGCTGATAAGAGGGAGCACCGCCAGGTGGTGCTAGGCCATCTTGTGCCGGGTTCATCATACCAACCTAAGATAAACAATGTTTTTTGTCATCTTTCTCTTCGTTAAAACTCTCTGCATATTAGCCATCCAATAAGGTAAATGAAAATGATCTGTTATTTCTCTGCTGCTTATCAGCATATATTCATATATATGACGGGTCACTTAAGTTTCATTTATAAATTAAAAACGATTACAATTTGAAGACGAAACGGCAGTATATTTAAAACAATGTGTGAGAACGAAATATATGTAGCATGATTTAGTGATGCACATCAATCGTTTATTTTGTAATAACAAAGCCTTCAATTAGATAAAAGGAAACAAAATAAAAAATGTAGCAGGCAGGGTTTAGCTAATGTATCTCGTCACATCGCCAATTGTTTGAATGAAAGAATACCAATATTATTATCATTCATAATGTCAAATAACGTAACGTCATCTGTCAGACAGTCTGCTAAGTAGAGTAGTTCACACTGTTCCAAAATTTTCTATCTCAATGGTTCCAAATTACTAATGTTACTACAAAGTTCTATTAGTTGAAATCATCCCATGCAGCGTTTTATTATTTATTGTCTATTATACAAAGAAAAGTTATTTATTATTAGACAAAGAAAAGTTATATGGTAATGGCGCGTGGTACCTAGGTACTTAGAAGTCACATTTTGTTTCAAGACAAGATTATGGCGGTAATTTTGAAATCAACTAGTTTAGTGAACGTATTTTTGTTACTTTGATTATAATATTATTATTGTTAAGTTTGTACTATTTTGACTTACCTCCGTGTTTGATCAAAATAGGAAACTGTCGGTGATGGCTTTGATAAAAAATGAATAATACTATATACTTTAAATAAATAATATCGCATAATATAATAAAACCTAAAAGTAACGAACTGCATTAAATAAACGTTAACTGTTTTTCTTTTTGTATTATGTGATATTTAATAACTTGCTTAATATTTTATAAGGGATACACTTTACCTATTTCAGGGAACATAATTTTATTCTCAATGAAATATCTATAAATAAATAGGTAAAACCATTGGTTTTTTAAATTAACTTTGTGAAATGTACAGTGGGGAAGTTCCTAACCTATCTATTGGTAGGCAATTCAATTTCAATAAAACCAATCTAAAAAGTAGGACAGATATCGAACGTTGTTGTGTAACTTCTAGGTTCCGAGTGCTTGAAAAAATATCATACCTATTTATCAAAGTTACGGTAGGAAGGAGCTTATTTATTTTAAAATGTTTGTGTAGGTATCTGCTGCTTGAAGTACAATATATAGACTATTAGTATATTAGTCGAAAAAGGATGTAATGTGAGTTTAAAGTTTTTTTAGAACAATCAGCAGTGTCTCATTTTTTTTAAGTAGGGAATAGTTTTATTGGTAGTGAATAAGTAATTGTAGCTATCCTATCCAGACGAGGTTGGAGTTTCAGGACGCATAACCAGGTTTTTCCATTTAACAGTTTAACAGACAGATTATTGACAATTGACGAAAAAAGACTTTATTGACGTATTGACTTCGCAACACATACCGTTTTCATAATTCTAAATAAGTATTGAATGTTACTCGTATTCAAGGACCCAATACTAACAGCAATAATTGGTTAGTTTCCTTGGTCAAAAATAAATAATTCGATGTTTCAATACTATAAAATATTGAAAAATAACTACTTATACTTATCGATCATCGATCGATCGATACACCAAGTTTTAGATTTTTTTTAGCTAATTATTGTGAAATAAGTAAGCTATTTGACGCAAAAATGTTATGACGCCATAGCTCAGTTTTTCATACTTATAGAAAAGTATCGTTTCTGGCGTTTGGATAAAAGTATTGAATTTGAGTACTTGGAAACTACCGTATTAGATTAAGTACACAAAAAAGTGTCATCAATTATTGAGCTGACAAAGATATGCACATTTTCAGGGCAAAAATAAAAGAGTTTTTTCGAAACTTACTACTAACGTGGTAAATTTATATAATACCAAGAATTTTATACGGATGAGTTTTATAAGTATTGTTTTGTCTGTTTAGACAGGCACTGAAGTAGGTATTTTGACAAAAGTAGTTCAAAAGATAGTTTTTAATATTGATAATATCCTGACTAATACAAGTCCAGTAAAAGCACAAAGTATATATTTTTTTATCATCTATAAAAATATTTTTTAGTACTAACCTGTGGAGCCGAATGATGTAACTGCGTGTACTGTATGTGAGAGTTTTGAACGCCTGTGTTAGCAGCATGCTGTCCATGAATCAGTGGAATGTCAAACTCTTCGTCGCCAAAGGATGGTGTGTGAAATGTCTGAAACAAAGTAAGACCATGTTAATCAATTATTTTGTATATATACTTGCATTAGGCCTTTTCTTTAAAAGAACACGTTCTAAATTATGGTCATCAAAACTGGTTAGGTACTTAGATACTGTACCTAAATCGTAAATTCACTACATGTCCAATTCAGAAACTGAAATACGCAAGGCCTTCACGTTTTTTTGTTTATTGGCATATACCTGCCTAAGTAGTTACTGATTTTAGTTTAATTTTTGGTAATTAAGAATATTTAGTCCATCAGTTCGAAATAAAAGCGTGTCAAAAAACCTAGAAAAGCCATTAGACACGTAGGTACCTAGACATTTCTTTTTTTGTCGAATGAAAGTTTAGGAATTAAGGTTTAAAAATAATTAGGTACTCATCAAGGAGTAGGTACTATTATTTAAATATCTTCTTACAGTCCTATCTTGTCTGTCACTTATAACATACCTACCTAGTAAAGGTAATTAATGACTACTAAAGTCGTCGATTGATTGATTTAGTACCTACTTTGGGGTACCACAAGAATATAGTTTGCATAATCATTTTATAAGGTAAATTGGATAAGATAAGCAGTACCTACAGCAAAAAGGTCGAGGCCCTTCAAGAGTTCAACACATCCTTTATGTAAGTTCGTTGACTTTTCCTGTTATCTGTTTTTGTACTAATTTGAAATTATTGCTAAAGGGATCGCTAACACGTTTAAAATTATTAGGTGATTAATTTAATATTTATATGATAAAGTTTACATTACTAATGTGAAGTAATCGCACTATATTTTTAGGCTTTTATGAATCTTATAATATTACACTTGCTTGCATACCTAATAATTATGCTTACATTATTTCGTAAAGCTACTTGGAATTACGCATTACAATTGAGAAAAACACCACTTAACATGTGTTTCCTACTAAAATAACCCCAAAACTATTTTGGCTATTGTGTTATAATTAGTACCTATCTACCTAATGTCGCAGAAAGTATGATAACCGGAATAAACGAAAATTAAAAAAGTGTGACAATAGTGGAATCTATTGCGTGTATATTAATAATATAAATCACAAAGATTTATATTATTAATATTAACTGCATTGTAGGTATGGTAAGTTCGGTTTATATTCCATATCGGATTTATTATTCCATTATTACATGAGTTAGGAGTACCTTGAGTTAGGAGGGTAAGAAATCGACAACATGCGTGACAAGGGTTCCCTACACCTGTCCTTGAAATATTCGCAAAGTTTATAGCTGTTTCCAAAGCGAATAAAACGTTATTGCTCTGCCTTTGTAACTTTAAGCCCGGTTGTCCATCAGAGCGTGAACGACATTTATAATACCGACTTAAACTAACACAAATTTAAGAAATATTAGGAGAAAATTACTTGAATTATTCATTTGTGTTTGGTGTTCGCTCTATGAAGTTGTATTACGGTGAGAATCTAATTAAAATAAAATAAATCTGTAAAGAAAAAGGTTGGAGCAGAGGATTTCCACTTGCGATCACGAGCGTGTAGTCATGACTACAGTATTATTCTTTTTTTAAAATATAAATGCTCTCTAAACTACCTACATAGAAAGAAATCGACCGCCATTAAATCTGCTAATAGTCTTTAGTGCTACAAAATAAAGACTTTTTAAAATTAAACTCTTAGGAAAGAATGTTTTTAATGTATAACTAGCTAACTATTACTCTTACTATGATCTTTATTCAATAGTTGAACATTATAGGAAAGTCTCTGAGAATAACAGAAGGTAGCAAGAAGTTTCCATACAATGTTAATTACTATAAAAAGCTCTAAGTATAATAGTAGCATTGTATCGTGTTCTTTCGTTTTGTTGTTGGTGTATTTTACTTTTATTGTGAGCGTGTTATTAATTGGCTATTGCCATTTAAGTCGATATCTTGTTATAGGCTCATTAAATTTAGGGAGGAACCTAAGAGCATAAAACGATCTCATAAACAAATTATAAGCATGACAAACCGAAAATAATTATAATCATAGGCAACTTGCGTAAATTGAAACCGACTCTTTCTTAATTTTGTAAATACTCTAACAACAAGGCGGAATATATTTGAAAGTTTTATATAAAAATAAAAACAAAACAAAACAAACTTTAAAATACCCTAACGACAACTATCCAAGACTCCAGAATGCCATATCAAAAAAGAAAAAAAAACCACAGAGGTCTCTAGAAAGGGAACCTGTTATCTTTTACTCGTCTTTACATTTAGAATGTTTTTTGTATGGAACGCTCAAGTCTGAGGATGAAACGAAAATCTCGTACGATTAGGTTACCTACTTACATGATTGTTTTCCTTAATTTAGAATTATAATTGAAAATGGTTTTCTCTTCATTTATTAGATTAATAATTGAAAAATAAATCCTAGGCACATAAAGAACGTAAATCATAAAAAAAAAATTGTTGAGTAATTCATTGTAAAAATGTGTGGAGTATTTAATATGTTCAGATGGGAACCAAAGCGTTATGACGCTATAGTACGTGGTTTAATATTTTACCATTCGTTTTTTAGCTAATGCTATTTTATATAAAACCTCAAATAAAGATATGTATATCGTTACGCCTGTTTTGCATTGGGAGGTCAGAGGCAATGAAACGCCGAATTAAACGACTCTGGCAAGCCTCTTTAGTTTCCACTTTATTCATCAAGTTCTTCAAAAATAAATATTCGTACAAGAAAAAAATCATAATTCTAGTCAAAATATAAAAGGACAGGATAAAGGACGGCTATTTATAACAGGAAGAGGTATAAATTATAAAAAAGTATTACGTTTAATTTGTCTATGACCTACGTAGTTTGATTTTCTTGTAGGTACATGAATAAAACGTATTTTAAATAAGCATTAGATTTTAAATAGGCTTAATATTTTTTTTCTTTTAGCGATTAATTCGTATTTCGATACCTAATTTAGTAACATTTGTTAAAATATTAACTTCTGTTCTTACCACCAGATTCCACGGAATTTTGAAGTCGGTATCTATCTCCGGGATAAGTAAGTATCTAGGTAACGTAATAGTATGTTTTAATCTCTCTATTTTAATTTCTAAAAAAAAATTATTTCATCTATCAAAGCGGTTAGCCACTCCAATAGCAACAAGATCCCAAAGATATAAATTTATAAATCTTCTGTGTTGTTATTAATACTAAACTAAAAACATAAAAGTCATATTTTAGCCGACTTTATCTACCAACCTGATCATTCATAATGTAAATGCTGTTCTTTGCGTCGCGAGGAACTGACAGCGGAGACTCGAGGTTTTCTGGTCTCTGGAACAATAAAAAATATAAATGTACATAGTTCATTACATTCAGGCATAATATTAAAATACTAGCTGTTGCCCGCCTGGGTACGCGTAGAATAGTGACTTCCTGCAGATTTTTGGTATAAAAACTATCTTATGTCCTTTCTCGAGTTTTAAACTATGTCTGTACCAAACACAGAAATCGGTTCAGTAGTTTAGGCATGAAGAAGAGACAGACAGGCAGAGTTACTTTCGCATTTATATTATTAGTTTGGATAACAAATATCTTAACGATAACACGAGGTAACGGATAGTGTCTTTTCGTGGGTGTGTTTTATTTGTTTCATGTAAACTGTACCACCACCCCAAGCTCCACTCTATTACCTACTGAGGAATTTTCTAATAACTAATAAAAAAAGCCCAATAACATTTTGGCCAACGTGCAAATCGAATTCCGCAGAGCCTTTGTTCTGCAGTTAAGCTTGTGACCGTTCGACCATCGAAGGATAGACCATAGATAAAAATACAAATTATGAAAAAAAACAAACTTACAAGTCACGAAAAAATCTAACAGAATCTACAATACTAGAACAGGTGTGTGCTTCTTCACGATAGTTTTATAATTACTGTTATATGTAAATATGTTTACACGTATATCCAACTTTAATTAGTCGGTAGGTTAACTGAAGAAAATTAAACGTCAAAAAGTGCGTGTTAATTTCAGCGTTTTTATATAATTTTATGCAAGTGGGCACATACAAATTAAACTGGTACCGTAAAATAAAATAAAATATCGTCTATTGCTTGGCTGTTATAGTTTTATATCTCTTCTGATCTTAATTCAACAAAAAGAAAAGCAGTTAATTTGCAAAATTATCAGAATTCTGATTTTGTGTCTTGGTTTTTCTGATTAAATCAATAAATAATAACTGTATATTATGTTGCTATCCATAGGTAAAATATAGTAGTCAAGTTCAAGTACGAAATATCTACCTTAAGTGTACTTTAAAAAGCTTTGAATTGTGTAGAACCCTTTTGATAATAATTTATCGTAATTATAATAGGCAAGTATGTTGTTAGACATGGCCTCAAGAGATGTTTCCTGTGCTATGATGAGCGGGGCGGGAACAATTTCGCGATCACAAGTATAATACCAATAACCGTGGTACACAACAACCTCGTTAGCTTCCCAACATGATAGTTACGATCAATTTTATTGCTTTTTACTTTTTACACAAAATTAAGTTTCCTGCGGCCCCCATTGGGTAAATTGTTGATTATAATCTGTATGGGTTCATGAAAGTAAATTATTCTGAGCTTAGATTGTGGTGTAGCTCAGTTAAAATTCCTCGTAGAACATTATGTAACGAACTCAACTCAATTTACCAAGGAGGCAAGAACTGAAACGTTTACAATATGATAGTTATTTTATCAAGTTTATATTCTCAATTTTATTTTGGTATGCTAGCTAGTAGTAGCTTATTCATGATATTAAAATGTAATGTTCATTTAGAAAAAAATGTAATAATATTTATTTCGTATTACTTATTGCTAGTTGCGCCAATACTTGATCCAGTTACTATTTCTTAAGATTGCGATATTGAATGGCGAGAGTTGCGCACACAAATGGCATTCTCTGTTTTAAACTGTTCATTTAGGTTGTAGCCTATTTAAGTAATTATAAATTAACAATAATCGATGTTTTCTAGTTTTCGTAGGAATACTTTGCATTTGGAGGAATATTCGATGAGGGTAAATTTATCCGATGCTTTAGGTACATAAATAATAATTATGGTTATTTAGTACAGGATTTTTTTACCATTTGTTTCAAAAACAGATAAAATTGTTTTGGTGACGGAGCTCATTACATAACAGCTTTTGTATTAAATGCATATTATTTATGGTAAAATCCACAGTAAAGTTAGATTTAAGGAGATAGATAGAAACATAAATTTAACTCTGAAAATACGTAAAAACTTATTCAGATAGAAGTCAGATATTGATAAAGATTTACTATTAATATAGTATATTTCTTAAAAATATAATTAAGTAATTAATCAACTCCATGAAAGTAATGAGTAACTTGACATTGGAATCTCTTTTTGAATAAGTAACTATTCTTAATATGAGAACCGTTTTAATCGTTGTTCCAAAATGCGATTGATCAACATTGTAATAGTACCTTGAGCCACAAGTCTCATGCCTCTCAGACCGGTTTCCGTAGCACACCGGCTGCGGTCCCATTGGGCCTTTTATACACACACCACTATCAACAAGTAAGTGAAAGGACACGCCGATAATTGCTTTCTGTACGATTCGATTTTGTAACAACCTGGTGGTTAGTATTAATAAAATATTAATGAACACTCCACTAGCTCCACCTAGTCACAACATTCTATAAAAATATACGCATCTCATATTACTAACCATTTAAAATTCATTCCCTAAAACAATATGTCCAATTAATTACTTCATTAAAATTGAACCATAAATCATAATACAAACAATTTTCAATTTGATAAATCTTTGTAATGGTCGATTATAAAGTGGCATACATAACGATACGATGTTTCTAATATGTTTTTAGAGCGTGGAAAGTAGAAAGTTTTAAAAGTAGGCAAGAAGTTAATATAGTTCGGAAAGTATCTAGTCTATTTGTTTTAAATATTTCATATCTTAACATGAATCAAAGCAGATTTCTAAAAAAAACTTCATAATGCCATCATTTTACAAAAAATCGACGCCGCTATTAAACTCTTTGTTTTCGCCCTGATATCTTAATAGATGCATATACTTTTGTATCATTTGTTTAAATAAAAACCAAACTCACAACATAAAATTACAAAGTAAAATTATAATAGTAACATTTGAATCCATTACTGCTGTGGAATGGATGAGTCTCTAGGACGTAATTGCCGGTCAATGACCTCGTTTTGTTCCTTCCACTAAAATAGCGTTAAATCAATTGATGTTATTACAATTGGAACACAACTCTCATCATAACTTACAATTTGTGCGGGAGGACACGTCTTAAAATAAAAGAACACGTGGTTACTTTTTATAAAACATTATTTCTTTTCACAGAATTCTGTAATGTTTGGTTCCGGTTATTTATTCACACCTATTGTTTACTTTAAGTCAAAACACGTCTTGTTTAAAAAAACGGATAATGTAAAGGAATTTATTCAATTTCCGTCATGTTTAACGTTTTCTGTATTTTAAATGGGTACGTTTTTTTCGGAATTCTTTACATTCCTGAACTATTTTTGTTAATGTTTGGCCCGCAAATTGCCGTTACTTGATTCTTACGATGCCTTCATAGGGTTTCATCATCGTTCATTGCTCTTGTTTGTAGGGCGACCGTTCTGTATATTTTTCTTATAATAAGCTTATAATATGAGTCGATTAAGCTCCGATCATGATTAAAATAACGTTAACGTGACAGGTGCTGGTTTTCAAAACCAAGACCTTTGATTACTTTATTAAATTTATAAAATTCTTAAATACTAATTAATTTTAGTTGAAAGTTATCTACAAATTCAAACGCATTTATTTCTGTCTCTCTGTTTACAGCACCATAGAATCCTAATAGAGTGGATGTGATTTGTGGTTTTAGAATATTTTTCGCGCTATGTTTATGTGTTATTTGAATGTTGGTAGTAAAGTTGTAATAGCCTCTATTCCAACTTCTCTGGTCACATTGTATGTCACAGCTGTCACCGGTAAATTTCGAAATCTGCTAACTATATTGACTTACTTTTCTCATTTTTGAATTACGGATATTAGTCGACGAGTCCCTAATGTTGAGTCGAGTATGAATAAAGAAATCAATACATTTTTGAACCATTTACATATTCATATAGACAGAGGCTGTATTTAACGTATTTTTATAAAAAAAAAAAATGTTTATATTATGACTATGTAATATAAAACAAAATTGCATTCTTTATCCTTAACCTTAAATTGTTAAAACTGGGTAACGGATTTTGATGCGTTTTCTCTAATAGATAGAGTGATTGAAGAGGAAGGTTTAATTGTATGATAACATAGTGGAGAAGTTTTGTATTCAAATAGCATTGCACCCTTGCCGGTGCCAAGTCGGGGCGGGTCGCTGGTATTATAATATTTTAATTAATACCTATACCACTCTTCATTATTAAATGGCACAGGGCATTTAGAGAGAAGTGGCCTCATAAGGGTGATCCTACTTTTATTACCTGATATTTCAGATTACGTGGTAATTATATATTGACGGCTTCAAAATCGATAAATAACTATTGACATTGGAATTACGAGTATAAGCTACCTTTATCCTAATATGGGCAAAGTAATTCACCTGTTACAATTTCTTAGTACTTTGACCCGGTAAGTCTGCCGTAAAGGTTTATTTTCGGAATTTTTAAGTTTTATTTTTAATTTTGTTTACGTCGTTCCGTTGCACCTGTTTAACTTCCAACGCATGTCAGTAACACCCAGTTATTTGAAAGGTGTTCAAGTGATTATTAAGTAAATACATATATCGTTAGGTATCAAAGCAATAAAATGTAAGTACTTAGTAAATTTAAAATATTTTTATACATAGGTACAGGTAAAGCATAATTGTCACAACAGTACAAGGAGTCCATGGGCATGATTGCATCAGATCATAGTGACATTAATAAGCAAACATACCCGCTGTTCTAAAATAAACCACGAAAAATAAATCTCTGAGGTTTGTTATTTCAATCGTAGATAACGTCTTGTAGTTCTTCTAGGCATGAGTTAAGTGGTTACAAGGTCCATCATGATTATATTTTTGGGGTTACGGCGCCATCTGTTGGCCGCGGGAGAATTCCAGGTCAGTGGCAGAGGGCTCACCGTCCAAACTTAAGATGGACGTTAGGGAAGCATGTTTTTATAAGCGTTACGTTATACACTACTAACTTTGTACCTGTATCAAATTGAGTTAATTATACAGTACAACAAAATATATTTTTCATTTTGGATAAAAAGTACCTAAGTAATTTCATTTAATCAGATTTTTTAATTAAATATTTGTAAATTGTTAATTAAAGAAAAAATAACATTGATGTCTTAACTGAAAAACCAACTATTACTTTACGTCCAGATATTCTTAATTGTATATATGTTTATATCAGCATATTTATTTCCATTTTACATTTTTACAATATCTAATTTTTTATTAAAACTACTTAAACAATACAGCTACAATAGCCTTTTTTTAAATAAGTACGTAACTTTTACTTTAAACATTAATTTAAAAAGCCTAAAATCCATAAAATCGTAACAAAGTAGTAGATTCATAACACACGTTTATTTAAATAAATAAGGAACGATAATTAAGTACGCCCTACGTCTTTATCTTATCTTTATATCAATATCTGTGTTCCAGTTTGCTAGAGATAGTGTTATTTATCAACCATGCATACGTTTATAAATATTAGATATACAATATTATACTCTGTAATTTAAATTAATTGTTTATTATCTAGCTACAGTATAATACGAAGTTTAATATGATATATTACGCTTAGATAGCCCAATGTTATTTGGTAACATTCGTAAAAAGTTAAAATGACAAGCGATTAAAGTGAACTACTAAAATATGAGTTTCCCGTCCACTGAGGTTATTCGTTCAGGAAGCAAACTGTTACAACGTTGTTAAACAAACTCTCTTTTTCGTAATCAGGTTATTCTAAAACAGGCTTCACTGGGTCTGATTGTATCAGATCTGAAATTACTTCCGCAATCATTTAAATAATTATGTAGGTCTGAAAAACTAAGCACGTTGCCATGAAGTAATTTTAATTGTCTTAAAAAGACGTGAGCTACATTAATTTAACTACTTAATACAGCGACTAATATAATAATTAAACTATTAACATGCTAAAAATATACATTTGAGTTCAAAACATAGTTATAAACAAGTTGCAAATTCGTAAAAGTATGTTCAGAAAGTTTGTACCCACCATTTAAATATTTAATTAGCTGCCATAGACATATTCCATCCAACGAAACGAATTGGGTTTAATAAACATACATTAATTTAAACGTTCCGGTCCCATGTAAGTTCTAATTAATCTGCGGAGGAAATAGAAAATAATACAATTTCAACTTTAATTGATAGAGCACTGAAGTCATTCATTCATTACACATTAGGTATAAGTTTAACTACCAGAACAATAAATCGAACTACTCTTGTCCTGCACGAAATAGAAACACAATCAATTTCTGTTAATATTAATTTGTTCCACTTGAATATAGACCTATTTCGAGTTCGTACGGAAACATTTAGTAGAAGCACGATAGAAAGGCACGCTAGACGCACGTGCGGACCGCGCGGGAAGACTGCGTGGCGGTCGTGGCGCGCGCTGCGGTGGGGCGCCGCGCCGCGCCTCGCCTCCACCTAGTACGAACTACCGCCGCAACACACCGATGGCGCTATGTTCATCCTATTCGTAAAGCAACATTGGTTTTGGCTTTTACTAACAGACGGAACCACAAGAGCTCAGACTTCTACCATTTGAAATTGGTCACGAAACGAAAATCTAGAGATTGAATTGTTAAAACGAGCGCTATATCTTTTAATATTAATAAACCATCATGGTGCGATAACATGTAATAATTATACGCCATCCATCGTTGGAAAATAACTAAAAAGATTTATGTGCCCACATTAATAAATCTTTTCTTTATAATTATAACTTGATAATAAACTTTATTTTTGCCGAAATTGAATTAGGTTCAATTTAAACTTTTTGTTGTGAAACCAGTTACTATATTGTAAAATATTATCATTATATTCTTGGAAAATAAAGCAAAAGACGTTTCAGGATTACTCAAATTATTTAATGGATCTAGACTTTTTACAAACACTACGATCGGGTAGAATACAAATAAATGCGTTATGTTTTATACTTCAACTAAAGCTTTAGACTATATTTTAACACGTTTTACTTTTATCACGGTGTTCTAATGAATATAACATAGTTTATAGTATAGTCAACTGTATGTTTAACTTGTAGTTAAATATTTAAGGTTTATTTTAATTATTATCGGTATTCGACTGCACGATAAATAAGGAATGCCTCAAGGAACATTTCTTGGACCAAAAACTTTTTTAGTTTATTGGATACTATAATATTGTCTATGTTTTTTTTTAAATTAAAACTACATACTTGAAATACATATATTTTTAACTTTTTAGTAAAAGCATACGCTCAGGAGTAAATTGTACATGGAAATTGACCAAAACGACGGTAAAAATGATAATTTGTATCTGCAAGTACACTGCTTTGACAGTATCTACACGACTAGACATTTTTATGGTATTACTTAAAAGAAGAATTGTTTGGTATGTACGTTACGAGTGCGTTGCCGATCTTCTGAGGATTAGGGAATTGGAAATTTTGGGATTGGGGGAGGGGAGTGATTTTAGTTATATGTGTAAAACATAAAAAAATTTATGTAGCCACTTTAAAATTTGACAATAGTCTTAGAATGCGATGATGAAACCAAGTGATGGGAAATACAGTTTTAGCTGTGTAGTCTATGAATTGATTCCAGCGCAGTTTTACTAATGGTTTGGATTAAATTTTATGGAAACTACTTAAACTGAATTGACCTACATCTGCACTGATTTAGACAAATTATTTAACAAAATGTTGTTGTAAATGTTCTTACGGTTTTATTTTTTATAGTTTCATTTTTTAGTACTTTTGGTATAGAACAGGTCACAATGCGTTAGCCCACATTATTATTTTCTCCTGTGTCGTGGGCACAAACTGTCGTAGGGATAAAAAAACGACAATTTCACATATTCATTCTCAGACCCGGAATAACAATTTGTGAATCACACAAAGAGTTCTTCCTTGTGGGAATGGGACCCGCGACATTTAGCACGTCGTCACCAGCCACCGCACCTTCCGTGCAGTCAATGTATTTTCCAAAGTATTGTTGATGTTGATAAAGATATTATTGTTCCAGAAAGACTGCGATTTATTTTGCTATGCAATACAGAGTCGTTTACAAAACCCAAGAAAGTCTGTACGCAGCCTCGGACATGTTAGTTTGCTAATTAGCGGAGCTGAGACAAGCTCTGCAATTTTGATGGACTCTACTGGTAGGTTCTTGAAACACGATGAGTTCAGTTAGTTCCGATTTTTTATTATAGGATGGCGGCTGACTTGCTTTAGGATACGCTGGTAAGCAGTCGGCGCTGGGTAGATACACTTACAAGGCCAGGGGAGTTACTAGTGCGTTGTAAGCCTTTTTGAAGTTAGGTAGAGGTATGGACATGTTAAGATTAGAGATGGGCAACGATTGGACTTCGGGTAACCTCACTCATGCGGTGAAACATACCGCGGTGGTTCTATGAGGCCATGGATCACTCCGCTCGAGCTGATCTATACGTGCCGAAGCATGAATCTCTGATACAATGTGTGCTCTATCTGACAGAAAAAAAAAACTGATTTTTCTTGTTTCCGTACAATTCCTAGAAATTAGTTTGTTGCAGGTTTTAATAAAACAAAAAGAACTATTTCCCGACTAGAATCATAGTTTAGTAGCAGAGTTAATAGTATTTTGACATTCACACAATCTCCAGTATGAATGTATTGATTGATAAACTTCTTAGCTAAAGTTGCTAAAGCATGTTTTTATTATTATAAATTCGAATTACATTAGATACGTTTTTTCTTTGAAACATCGTCTGATCTCACGATTTACTACATTTTCCTCAAAAATTCTTGGGCCACTCCTAAACATGAACTCGTGTTATTTAGTAGTATTTTTTTTCGAGTTAGTGTTATAAGTGGGTACTTAGCATATGAAATGAAAAATAATATTTATAGTAATTTCCCATTGCCTAAGTGACAGACTACAATTTGTATGTTTATACATTGTCATTATTCTTATTGCACCATTTATTAATGCAAAACCATCTTGAAACCGCGTAATAATTACGATTACACTCATCGTAAAAACAAAATGGTATCAATAGATAGATAATGGTAAATTAATTATAATACTTTAAGAGTACATTAGGCCACAACAAATAAGACAATCCAATTTCATATTATTGTAATTACGTGCCCAATTTTAGTTTCTAAATGATTAGAATATTTTGATGGCCTACTAATAGTATAATGTGAAAGTTTTTGTCATATTAAGGACTATACTAATCTATGGCGTAATTTAAAATAACGGTTCGTCTGATTTGCTTTGATGTTGGAGACTAACTACCTTATAGTGATAGAGATTAACTTATAGTGAGGTGTTTGTGCTCTTTAAACCCTAGTATGAGTAATTAGGGATCTGAAAAACTTTTTTCTAAATAACTCTTAGTATTTCTTAATATATTTATTCGGTTTTTAGTGTTTAAAGACCATGCAAAGAGAATTTGTGAATTTGATACATTTTGTTTATCAAAAGATTTTTCATTTCAAGATATCTCACAAAATGTGAGGAGTACGTTCGCAATAAACCATTCCCAAAAGTAGTGTAATTCACGTCACGTCACTACTAAGAATATCATAACATAGGTATCACACATCACACTTTACGTTTCCTAAAAGTGAAGGTAGTCAAAACCAAAGTAGAAATTATTGCGCAAATCTAGACTCTGTGACTGAACATTTCTGTAAACTGATATTTGCCGGTGGATTAGCAATATCATCCTTCATTTGTGAACTATTTACAATTTCAAACAAAAAAGTGATGACAAATCAAGTAAAGTGATCTTCTCTAATCTCTACACGCCTTAACTTTACGTGCCAAAGACTTCGTGAAGTCTTTAATTTTTTACGTGAGATATCGGTAAACTGGTCAGTGCTTGTTAGCAATCTGCGCAGCCCATGGACATTCGCAAAATTAGAGGAGTTACGAGTGCGGTGCCGACTTTTTGGAGTTTAGAGAAATGAGGGTTGGGGATTTGGGGATTGGGGATGAGGGAGGAAAGGGGAGGGAAATCCGACTTTAGTTAACTAAGTCACAAAACGCTGTGGTTTTTCTGGCCGTGGGTTCTTGTTGAGCCAGCCAGTTCTTGGCGAAACATGCGACTCTTTGAGATAGCATGATTGTTTGTTAACGATACTCACCATCTATCTCACACTAGCTGTCGCGCTGTTTCATTCGCTACTGGGCTTGTACTAATCGTAGCGTGATGTTTTATGGCGTAAAGCCTTTCTCGATAAATGTACTAACAAACACAAAAATAATTAGTCAATTCGAACCAGTAGTTCTGGAGATTAGCGCGTAGAAACAAAAAAACTCTTCAGCTTTCTAATATTGAATAGATTGGTTAGGTAGAAGTGCATCTAGTGAGACATAATGCTGTATGTACGAGATGCACCTACTCCATGTTATGAAGCCCGTGTAAGTAAAAAGTACTACTACTACGTAATACTGGGCAAAGTCTGAATCCAATAATACTTTGCCCAACCCGCTAATCAAACCCAAGACTATTTGTTTGGCAGTAGTATCTACTTGCGACCACTCGAGCAACGAGGCAGCTCTAAATGACGTATGGTCTGGTTGGCACTAGATAAAAGTTTGCTGATCATCAGCGATTAAGATTCAATCAGGATTTTAGAAATGAAAAGTATAGAAATCTATTAAAAAAAATAAGTATAACATAATATAAATGCAAGTTGTCACATGAAAAAAATTAACCGCAAAAGTACTCAATGCCAAGAACCCCCCTTGCTCATGTTATCTTGACCGGTGTGATTCCAAGCCTTCAGATTTGGGTTATGTATATTGAGATGGGAGTTTTTACATACTATATGACATTACGCCACAAATGTTTCTATTACGAATTAAATCTATGTGATTAAGTACAGTAACTAAATAAGGCCGTGTGAGTAAAGTTACCGGAGCGGAGGTCCAATTCCTCCCCCTCCCGAAACGGTCGGCAGCGCACTCATAACTCCTTTGGTGTTGCGGGTGTCCATGGGCGGCGCCGATTACTTACTTACATTCTTTAACCAAAAACAACGTGAATGATATTTTGATGGTACATTTCGGACGCTTATGTGATTACGTCATGATTATTGAGTAAAAGTGCTCCTCGAAAATGATGGCACAAAGATGGTTTCCTGCGTGGTGGCAACGTACCTACATGTGATGCTTCTGGTATTGCATAGGTTACGATGACTGCTACGGCCATTGTCAGCCCCCGAACTTAATTGCTAGTGATAATTGTATACGGAAACTATAAATATACTGCATATTAAAAAAATATTCAGGAGAGCATACTTAAAAAAAAATAAGTTCCGTCATTGAAAGAATGTAGACACACAATAGTTACTTACATAATATTTTAATATTGTAGTATTCAAATATGTTTTTTTTATGAAATATACCAATTTAAAATGAAATATATTTTTAAAACTAGAAAGCATGTTTTTTATGTGTATTTCATGATGGTAAGCAGTCAGCGCCGCCCATGCATAATCGTAGTATCAAAGAAGTTACTACAAGTGCATTGCCGGCCTCTTGGAAGATATAAGGGATTTAAGTATAGTGGATTTGATGATTGTGAATGGGGGGAGGGGGGAAGACTTGGACATTCGGTAACCTCATTCACAAGGCGAAACACAACGTAAGAGTTGCTTCACGCCGGTTTTCTGTGAAGCCGTAGTATCACTTCGGTCGAGCCGGCCCGGCCGGTGCTGAAGCATGGCTCTCTAAATCTTATGTTTCTAGAATGACTTCGTTGGTCCGCCTGGTGCCTTCATGCAATTGTTGCATCATGCATTGAGTCTCTGCATCCCAGAATCACCTGGTACTTCCACCAACATCGTGTACTTCCTGTAACTTGTGTTAAGCGTATTAACTTACCTTGTACATACTGTAGAGCTTGTAAGCTCTTTCTTGATCGTCCGGTAAAGGCTGGACTGACTCCATGCTGTCTCATCGGCTGCGAGGTCAGGCACTAAATCCAATACGTTGTTACGACGGTCCATTTACTGGTTCAAACAGATTACAGTTCTCGCACTATAACTCCCGGCCAACTATTCCCATAACATTATTTTATTGTTAACGACCAATACGATCATTTAATCGTAAAGACCTTTAATAATAAAATCGTGATCGGCTAAATGCTTTAATTTAATAATTATTGAACATTAATTCGTGAATTGTGTGTGTTATTTCAATAAAACTAATTGGTTCATACACTACGGAAGTCGTAAATTTTAACATCGTTTTTTATGAACGTAAATATTTACAGAAAACTAATATTACCCTATATATTGAAAGAATCCTCAGCGTAGTTCTAAAATTAGAGGTTTGCTCTATAAATAGATTGGGTAGTTATTTCCTGTTCTCACTATTGATATACTTACCTAGCTTATTCCTTTTATATACTTGTACGTAAGTAAATTTAATTTTATTATAAGATATTTTGAAGCTTGCTATTCTTACCAATTAAAATGTATATCTAAGCTTACTAATAAACAAATAAGATTCACAGAGCCGACGGCAACTTTTGCGAACTTAACATTTAGCACTTGGGCAAATGGTTTATTTGTAAGAACAAATTATGATATTCAAATATGTTATACGTTGGATTAGGCTCAACACGAGTAATCTAAGGAAGCACGGTATTAAACAACTTCGTATGAGTTTGTTTAGAGTTCTAATATTATGATCGTTGATAAATTAAAAGTTTGATTGACGTCTGTAAATATTTTATGAATAACACTATTATATAATTAACAATTACGTAATCTAAGTTGTAACTAACTTATTTTTAAATTATAAATAAAAAGTGCACTTAATTAAATAATGTGAGGATTACTTAGTTAGCCGATACTTAATTAGAAGTATTTTATCAATGAAGTGCGCGTAAAAAAGCGGGGTGTCGCCAGTAGGTGAGCGGAGAGCACGTGGCCGGCACGCGGGCCCGGCGCGGCGGGATACACTTGCGAATCCGCGAGGGAGCACCCGCCGGAAACCGAGGTGTACCGGGGCTCCTCGAGTACAGAGAAGTGGCGGCCCGCGGCGCGCCTGCCCCGCGCCCGCGCCCCTCGCACCCCCGCGCCACACACCCGCACATGCACTGACTCCGCAGCCTTCGTCTCCACACCACCACTCACCCCGCGCACTATGTTTGCCTTAATCGCGAATTAAGGTTCCAGTAATGTTTTCTGTTAAGCTTAGAGCTTAATTTGACGTCATTCATTAGAGATCCCGTTTGAGAAACAGACGAAGGGATTGCGGTACCTTCCCACTCAATGTATGCGGTCATATTTATCTTTTAATGCAACAAAATGAAAACAGTTCTTAAATCCCTTGATTGGAGTTTTCGTACAGAGCCTATCAGGATTTTACCCATTATTATTTCAATGGAATAATTATGATTGAAATCGGTTCTTTAATAGCATAACATAAAGGTCAGTTAAAAGTTCAAGGATCCCAGAAGTATGGTTGTTGCCAAACCACTCGTATGTATATCTTAGATATGGTTTTTAAAGTATTTTTATGCCTACTTCCTAAAAACCTGTTATAATCTCTAAAATTATTGTGAATCGAACTAGTTTTACCTGTGATAGATATCTGTGAACTCGTTGTTTTGACACGTTAAACTAGAATATCGTCACGAATTCTTGAAACTAACGACCTATACGCGTAGTACCAGATGAGGCAAGATAAGTGTTAAAATATGGGGTATATTTTTTGCAGATTTAAAATAGTGTTGGTATTTAATAACTTAGTACTGGTTTACCGCTCCTCGTTATTTATTGCGTTAATTTATTTTATGCTACAGTTATATTGCACTATTGCATTTTAAGATAAAATATGACTAATAATAATATAGACTTCGGCCAAGATATGTTGAAACAATGATTTCATTTTTAATTGCTCGTCCGGATGTTTCATCATAATTACAATAAACTACATTGAGTAACAGACTTTCAATCAAACTCGGATACTAGATGTAGTAATCAAAAGTGACTTTAATTTATTAAGATTTTCTTTTGGAGCATGAAAAGAATATTATATTACCTAAGAAAGTAATGAAACGTTGCAAATGTTAGGAGCATTGAAGAAAATTAATTTCCCACGGGCATAAAGCACAAGTAATTGTAGTCTCATCAAGTATACACATGTAGATGTATATCCAGGTATCTTTGATATAAGGTAGATTGGGATACAATTGTAAGTATCTATATATTTTTACTTTAGTTTCATTAGGCCTACGTCTAACATGAATTGCTCTTGCATGAAACACAAACATTTTTAATGATGAAAATAGTCCTCCGGTATTGCACTATTAAATGATCATAACAACTTTCTGAACATTTCTATCACAATTCTTGAGCAAGCACTGCTTAGGTTCGTGCTGTGCGAACTTATATAAACCGCACTGAGTAAGATTATGAGTAATCAGATAGATATTGCATAAAATCGATCTTGCATAACAATGAAATTACACTTTGTAGATCACCTCTGTTGAGAAGTTAGTAGATGCATTCTGACGTTGATTGCCCTACAGGTGGAAACGTAGTAGTAGTAGCAGCGTAAAATTGTTGCTTAATCACGTTACGGAGTGGAACAAGTGTGTCCTGTCCGGTCTCCTACGCCAAAAAAACTTGTTCGTCGTAAGTGCGGCGGTGCAGTGGGCTCGTGCCGAGTTGTTGCGGTAGATCACATTGGTGTAGAGTAGGTCGGTCTATTTGTGGTGACAGGAGAGGCGTGGGTGCCGCGTGTACTGAGCTGGAGTGGCAATGACCTTGACACTAAGCGAGTGGCCTTGGGTAGCACGTGGCGGCTGACACCCGCTGTCTGTTGTCGGAACGCCGCCGCCGCCTTTCCCAGGGGAGCCTATTGTGGACATACCCTGTTACAAATACCGTTATTTGCAACTGCTTTTTAAATGCATATTTCCTATTTTTATCTCGTACTAGCTTACATTCTTAAGGTAATTTTAATTTAATTTTACAAAGTAAGTTTTATATTTGAACAAAACATTAAGACAATCTTTTGATTTAATTCATCGAAATTAAATCAATTTTATAGTGATTATCATAGCTTATTAATTAATCATGAGATTCCGTATAAAATTTCTACGGTTATAGGAGTATAACTATTCAATCATATCCTAAAACGAGTGCGTCTATTTTAGACAAATCTACAACGATTGACAGAATCATGTATGTATATTTTAATAATATAGCATAGTAAATAACACATTTATTGCACAGCAGATATGTATTTTTAATTGCGCTGTTATTCAATAAATTTCTGTTTTGTTTATTTAAATTTGCAAATAGGTAAATTGTAAGCGGTGTATCCACAGTAAGATATCGTGTGAATGGGTGCGATTCAGAGCGTCGGCGACGTGCGGCAGCGTGTCGAGTGCGGTCGCCGCGGGGCGGCGGCGGCGGCGGCGAGCGTTCAGTAGCCCCCGCCTGGCCGATACGTTTACGAGCCGACACTAACTTTAAGTGACCCCGCCCGCACTCGTGCGCCACAGCCTTGTTTATATCCCATCTCAATGAAAATAAAAGCGACGTCATTTCCTTGACTTTCCACCACAACACGAGGTTTGACAAGATACATAAAGAATTCAAAGCAATGAAGTTTTGATACGATATTTTGCGGCAGAATTCATGAACTAGGAAGAAGTCTCAACACCTACCTAATTAATTTAAACATCCATTAATTATACACACAAATGCTACGAATTGGTCGTAGATTTCTGCGTAATCATTAAGCTCAGAACTGATAAATGCTATCATTTAGCAACTAATAAATTGTCTGTTATATGCATTTTGTGACATAAAACTGTCTATAGTTTATTAACAATTTGTCGAATTTACATAAGTGATGATTTACGCTATTGTAGCGCACATTCATGAAAACCCACGTGCGCTTTTATCTCTATGGATACTGATATAAAACGCCGTATAAGATAGATGGTTTGAAACACAACACTCTCCGACAGGTTTCGTCATTGCATGACGGGCAAATATTCGACGATGTAGTGACATTTGTCGGAAAGAATGCAAAGGTAATGGACGAGGTAACAGTTGTCAAAGAATGCGTGTGACGTGACACGGCCTGTGTGCATGCGATGACGGCACGCCGCACGCCGCGCGCCGCCAGCGCTCCAAACATGAATGAACGAGCTAACTTGCTTTTTATCGCCATTTTCTCGCACCGAAAGTGACGGTTTAGCTTTGAGCATCTGTAATTTGCTTGTTTCAATTATGTCAGTTATTCTGATTGACGACTCCTGTTTGGAAATTAGGCGCTAAGTGTTCCGGTTATTTTAACGAAAATCAATCTTTATTTTGATTGTTTATTATAATTTACTTTATGAAGTCTACCACATATTTTATTTATTTTCCATAGTATGTATGTAATAGGTCAGTTTCATCTTATTGGATCCGTAATGAAATTAGTATTTCGCGTAATTTATAAAAATAGAAATAGCGGGAAATTAGAGAATACTGAAACAAATTGAACTATTCAATACTTTTAGTTGAGAACCGACGAGATATTTGCATCTGGAATTACAAGTTTGCACATAGTGACACCTTTTAAATATGGGGTCTACGCCGCTACGAAATTGCTACGCCGCGTAGCCAGTGATCAGATACAATAATAATAATTGTCAGTAGTTTTATAGTATTTTTTTATTTAATAAATATGCTTATCTAAAATTGTAGTTACTATATTTTATAATTAATATGATATTTTTAGAATTAGGGTCACTGAGAGTCGCCGGCAGCCAATGGATGCAAGTGGCGAGTCACCGTTCGCATGGACTATTGGCGAGAGAGGGATCATTGTTCAGAAGTGGACATCTTCCGGCTGATAACGATGATGGTATATGAATTACCTTTTATTTTTTTATACATAAAAATAAATTGCAGTTCTTTAGTCATGAAGAACAATTTAAGATTCGTTAGTGTCCCAAAAACTCGAAAGTCGCTGGACCGAAATCGCTTAGTGTGGTCTTGAAATATTCCTTGACATACAGGGAAGGTTTAAAAGGTCAGAAAATAAAGAAAAATTAGTTGTTTCAATGTTTGAGGCTGTACATCTTATTTTTCTAGTCAGATTGTGAGATTTTTTTTACCATTTGATTTCGTATTGCGTTCTATTACTGTCAGTTTTTGAAATCATAAAACCGAATAACTCAGCACTGTGTTGTTGCTGCTATGATTGCTGTACTTCATAAATTTATTCTTTACCTTCATATGCACTGTATAATAGTAAAGAAGACGTTTATAAGAAAAAAATAGTAATACATCAACTCCGATCCGAAAAATAAATCTGAATCTAAACCCTTGCTCGCCAGTTGCAATTGACCGCTGTGAGGCAATAAATATCATATCATATTAGTTTGAATGTATTAAAGGTTTTAAAATAGATGAAAAAAATAACACATATATATTCAATATAACATGAGTGCATATAACTATTAATAAGATTTAACGACTAAAAATTAAAAAACAACTTACTAACGTTCAGAGGGATGTCTTATGTATGAGTCATTATGTCCTATACCAATTATTAGGCTATTCAGACATCGTAAAAAGTTTATCTATCATTATTTTTATAAGGTATAAAGGTAAATTTACCTCTAAGTATGTTTTAAATATCAGCGTTTTTGTAGAGCCTTACTTCACCTTATTGAGCTTGCTACACAACCCTTGCTTAACATCAGCTTTGTTTGGCCCCATCTTTGGTGCTGATTGGCTCTTTGAGGCGCGTGTGTAACGCTACGCGTCGTATTAGGGGTCTGGTTCTGGTCGTCCGCAGACCCGCGCTGATGGTCACCATGCTATCACAACGCCCGATGTAGCTTAAATTGAAAAATTTAAGTTCACAAATAAAATCACATTTTATGGTCTATTTAAACCACAAATACAATTTATTTTATGTCATAAATATAATTTCATTTATATTTTGATTGAACCTGCATCTACTATAGTGACGGACAACTTTAAACTGTAAATCTGTGAATCAGTCAGTATCTTTGTCATCCCGCAGTTGACCGATTTTATTAACAAACTCGTTTTACGGCCTGTCTCTCTTGATGACGCTGTGAGAGATTTTTTCAATTTATCTCACCAATTAAAAACGTAGATTGAAATTCATTTTTGCAAGATTCGCGTCCGATGTAAATGTGGAGATGTGTTTTTGTAAAATTTCGATGTTTTATATGTTGGAATACACTTTTTGTATGCAAAAATGGTACGTCATTAGAAAATTATCTTTATCATGCATAATAATTATTCTATTTGTGTTCGATATGAGGAACTTTTCCGTCATCTATTATTAGTTGAGTCCCATGTAAAAGTCTAAGTCAAAGCCGTTTTACTCTTTCTATTATATTTTAACCCTTACTGGTCACTTTGAATCATCCAATTCGTCCGTCAGTTTGTTCGTCGTAGACCAAAGTGTAGACTCCAATAGAGAAGAAAAATAAAGAAACTCAAATTTTTACTCTCCAAAAAATATTACAAGCTCACCAACACGATATTTAATATAAATTATTTGTATAAATAATACCCATTATTGTACCCGTGTCTATAAGGACAATGTAGAGAGCAAGTTGTTAAAAATAAGAAAAAACAAGCGATGGTATCAATAATTCCTCATCATTAAATTTTAAATCCTTTATTGTCTTTCTAGACGGAACATTGACGGCGCTCACATATGCATACTGACAATGCTTCTCAACAAACGATTAGATCAAGTCATAAAAAAAAAATTAAGGCCACAATAGAATATTAATTAGTTTTTAGAATTTGAGTAACTAACTACTATATTGAGTATTGTCCAGTGCAACCGAAATAACGAAACGTTTCGTATAGATAAACCATTTACCTAGAAATTGTACCCACACATTGGTAATAAGGAATATTTCCCCTTACATGTTTTCCGTGTTGCGCATATTCAAATGCTGAAGATGTCTCCTGATTCTCTTAGTCTTCCTTCACCAGATGCAGAGCTTAGTTTGCTCTACGGGAATGAAAACAGAATTGTATAGGCCTACCATGAAGTGTTAAAGCGTGAATCTTCCGGGCGAGAAAGAGGATAGAACTATAAAAGGTGTATAGCTCCATCCCTCTTTATGTAGGCCCTCTGGTGTCAAACAACTGTCACGTCGTATTAAATATATGTGTCCATCAGGAACAAATTATTCAAGACTTATATCTTGCTTTTTTATGTGATAGGTCGGCAAACGAGTATACGAACTACCTGATGGTAAGCAAATAAACAGGGCTGAAGGGAAAAACAAAGAAATAGCTATATCAATTAATTTAGTACTAATACTTAAACTAGTTCAAATGTGGACTGATAGCCTTGCACATTTTCTTGCCCTTGGGTGATACAGGCTTTTCCTGTTCTCAAGGACATAACTGCAATTAGGTTTAAAACTATCAATAGTATGTTTCCATTTTAAACCTCTAACCACTTTTATTCAAGGTTAGAAAACTAAAGATCTTGGAATTTTCTACTATTCATACGCATCATTAGGAATTACGCCTCCTCTTCCAGGGAGGTTTGAGCTATTCATCACACGTTTGTTGAGAGTTGGATTGGCGATTTCAAACTTATTTATTAATTTGAATTTAGCTTATCCGCATGCCAATGAGTTCTTAGAAAGTAAATATTTTAACACGGAAAAAGTCAGATTGGTGTTCGATATATTTCGAACCCCTAGTTGCACGAGAAGCTAGCGTCTTAAACACCGGACCACAATGACTTTTATACAATCTAAACTATTACACATTATCATATGTACAATCTAAAACAACATACATGACATGTCTTCATGTGACCTGATTTGATCTTAAAATCTCGTTAACAGTAATTAGTCTGCAGAGAGCTTTCAACTAAAACTGAAACTTACAAGTCTTACTACTTAATCCTTGTGATTTGAAAGTTTTGATGGATATTGGCTTCCTAAAACTTGGCAGTTACGTTACGCTATACCTATGTACAATAGTTACTTATCTATAAGTGTGTTTTTAAATTCTTAGACTCACGAAAATTAAACAATAACAAAAGGCTTAAGTATATCTCAGTATAATTTATGTTTAACGGCTATATTTCTCGACTAGTTTCAAGCCACGTAAACCACGCTATATGAGCCCTAGTGTAGCTTGAAATAAGTCGGGTTCCTCGTCAATTTGTTACGTGAGCAATCCGTTATAACTTAAAATTAATTAAATGTGTCTTAGAATAGTTATATCATAAAAATATAAATGCATAGTAAAAAGAACGCAATGTTTTTATTTGTAGGCAACTCACGATTTCATCAGCTCGCAGCAGCTTCTGATTTTATCACCACGCCAACTCGATGGAACCATAATATCTACATGTTTTGCTAGATTTAAAATGGTAGGTCTAATAGCAGAGTCAGAACAACTTTTGAAAATCGGTTTTTTTATGGAATAGGAGGCAAACGAGGCTCACCTGATGGTGAGTGATCGCGGCCGCCCATGGACACCTGCATCACCAGAGGAGTCACAGGGGCATTGCAAAACCATTTAAG